TAATGCAGTTAAAAGAAATCAAGAAAAAAAAAATGACAATCTTTAGTTATCTTACTTATATTTACAAAAATGTGAATGTTTAAGGGAAATAACTCTATCTCAAAAATAATTTACCTGTACCAGTAAATAAAAGAAACTTGTGATTTAACTGCATTACTTTCAGAATCATTGATATCCTTTTATATTTGAATTCATAAATTACAACACTTTCAAAATCCATCATATTATTTTTTTATTTGTATGTTCAACACTTTCTTCAAAGTTTCATTGGAATAAACTTTCATAACCACATGGGGATAATACATGAGGGACAATTTGGATAATACATGAGGGACATTTTGGTATTGGATCATATGTGAGGGACAATTTTGTGTCATCAGCTGTGTTATTGTATACAACATCTTTGGCATGTCTTTTTCTTTTTTAGCCATGGCATTGTCAGTTTATTTTCGACTTATGAGTTTGAATGTCCCTCTGGTATCTTTCGCCTCTCTTTTGGTTCACTATTGTTTATCACATCAATGACATGAATTCCTTGAGGCTTATTATAGTATGAAAAACAAAATACTCTAAGAAATATAGTTTAGTACTTTCTGCCAACATGTTGAGGGACATTTTAAAATGCAGATATTTTGACGTTATTAAAAAATTCACTAACATTGTCTGAACGTTCATTATCTGATAAGTATCTATATACAGGTGATTGTATTTGTACCATATCTTGGTATTAACACATGTTATATTGATATAAAATAAGGAAATGTGGTATAACTATCAAAATCATGTGGTATAACTATCAAAATCTACCATAGAAAAAAAATGATGATGTTGACAACTTCAGGTCACTGGTACAACCTTCAATGATGAGCAAAAACCTAAACGTATAGTAAGCTATTAAAGGCCTTCAAACAATTTAGACACAAATAATTGAGGGTATGGATTAGGGGTCCTTAATTTCTATATTCTTTAAAAACATGCTTATTCTGTAAAATTCTCATGAAAATGATTTTACAATTACAATTTTTTGTAATTAATTGATTTCTTTATATTTTCTTTTCATTTATCTCTATTCTTTTATCTTCCACAGTTATTCTTTTTACTTTTACACCCCAATATTCTCTATTCTTATATTTTCTGTTCATTTTTCTCTATTCATTTATTTTTTGGCCAAAAATATTCTCTATTCTGCAAACGCCACCCAGACCCTCATAATTGCCTGATTTAAGCAAATGACATTAAACAAAAAAACATTTTTTGCAGACAGCAACCAACAACAACTGCTGGATTACTGACTTCTGACAGTTACATACAGAATGTGGTGCAGTTAAGCATGTTTGTGAGAGCTAATACCCGTCCCCAACATCAGACATTCAATCGTTTTACATCTGTCATTTCGGGGCTTTTTATAGCTGACTATGCGGTATGGGTTTTGCTCATTGTTGAAGGCTGTATGGTGACCTATAGTTAACTTCTATTTCATTTAATCTCTAGTGGAAAGTTGTCTCATTGGCAATTATACCACATCTTCTTATTTTTATATTGAATTCAGTTGTGTTATACTCTAATATGAGGGTATGGATGGGGTGTCCTTCATTTCTGTATTCTTTAATTTTTTTACTCATTATTCTTCATCTTTAAAAATAATGGCTATTCTGTAATTACTTGATAACTGTATTCTAGACATTGTTTTTTTCTGTAATCGGTTTATCTTTACCAAATTATTTATTTTTTTGCAGTTATTTTTTATATTTTAGGACCCCATTATTCTCTATTCTAAATCCCATCCACACCATTATATTTTAGTTCTTGGCAAAATAATCTTGTTCAGTTTTAATAGAGCAGTGGCTCAGATTAAATTCTAGAAACATAAATAATACTCTTGGTTTTTGAAATATGCTTTGTAGTTATATTATTACTGTTCTATTAATTGTTTTAATATATACATATATAAATTGTTACAGAGTGGGAATAAATATATAAATACCATATTGCTTCTGTATATATATATATCACTATGAGTCTATGACAATGTATGACATTGGAAAATGCTTCTAACATGATATTTGAGAGCTTGTAATTTCACCCTTGCTTTGACTTAAAATGAATATTCTAGAAAAGTGCCTTTCTGTACAACAAAAACTGAAAAAATGATAAAAAATTACGACCCTCAAATCTTACACAAAACTTAGACCTATGACAATTTAGGAATATTTTGATATTGTCTTACTAGTAATTACTTTTTAAAGAGTCTGTGAGTTGAAGAGTATTTGTCTGTGTGTTGGTTTTGGTTTATGTGATTAATGGCAAAGCGAGTTTCATTAGTCGAGGAAATCAGATTGGCCTGGTTATTTTAATACTAACCTTCAGCAAGAAACTGAAAAAACTCACAATTTACCAGAAGGACTATAGAATCAAAATACTTTTTTGCGAATGACTGGAGAGACACTTAAAAAACTACTTTTGTGAAGATTTGCTGCAGTGATTGCTTCCATTAATGTTGACCAACTGCTTATACTTTCAGCCACCAAGGTTGCATGGGTCAGAGGTTAAGTGACTGATTGATTGTTGTTTCCTTAACATTCAGTGACAAATATTTCATGTTTATTCAGGGTGAAAACAAATAAACCCTAAATTCAATCACTAAGTTTTGCAAAGTGTGTCAAATAGAATGAAGGGTGAAGAATTTACAAAGGTTGAATTAATTAAGCCAGTGGCGGATCCAGAACTTTTTCCCACGAAAGGGGGGGCCCGGGCCCCACCCTGGATCCGCCTATGTGAGCCCCTTGATAAAGAGGATAATAGCCTAAATACTGGTTTTCGCACCATAACTTGAGTAAGCCTCAACAAAGCTTTTGAAACTGAATTCTCTTTAAGGGCCTATAAACAAAGACACAATTCCAATTTCACTGAAGTCTTTCAAGAGTAATGCCCCTTAACCGATCGGAAAATAGTCAATTTTGAGTATCCAAACCTTGAAATAAAGGAGGCCTTGAACAAAACATTTGGAATTTGTTGTTAGGGGAGCATTAAAAAAAACATTTCAATTTGGTGGACTGATTTCACTTTTATTATTCAAGAATTATGATCTTCTATTAATATGAAATATTTCTATTTCTGTTTGATGACTCAAGTAATCATGAACAAAATCAGTTGAAATTTGAGAAACTTTTCAGGGTCTACTGAACTGATTTCATATTTGTCATCTGGAGTAAAACATGATAACATGAACAAATTCTGTAACTGGTTGTTTCTAGGTGACAAAGATGTAGTTTCAAAATTATCTATGGCAGCTTACAGAAGATGGTTCCTGTACAGTTTATTGAGCACATTAAATGTCCAAAACAAGACAAAAGAGCTTTTTGCCTTAACTTAAAAAACTTAAAATGAAAATAACACTTCATTAATTTTGTGTGTCTGATTCACTTTTCTTGATTTACCTTCATCAGGAACATTAGCTCACAACTAAACAGTTGAAAGAATGTAGAAATATGTAGAAACGTTAGGAGTTATGTAACCAAAAGAACCTCAAAAGAATAGTCATATTCATCTAAAGTCATTTAAGCCTGAGGGATTTGGAACCTTAGTTTCTTTACTTAATAAGGTGTAATTTTGAAATAGTTTTTATAAACCATGTCTGTGCCAAAGCAGAACTCTGAAGATACTCTCTGAGACTAACAGTCCACCAGCAGCAGTATGGACCCAGTGTTGGTAAATAAATATAAATTTTTTGCCTCCACTGTCTTTTAAGGCTCGACCTTTTCCTGGGAAAACAACTGATGCTTCTCTTACCTACATTACATAGATGTGACATCTGTATCTCATAGAAACATTCTGCTTTTATTGCTTATTTGTGTTGTTGGATAAGTCTTCAGGCTTATAGTATGGTGATGTCAGGGGCAGGTAGGTGGTTTGGTTGGCAGGGAATAGTGGGTATCTTATAAACTTCTACATTTTCAACCCAGATCACTGAAAAATCCCAGAAATATTGCACACATGTTGAAATTATACACCTGCAAAAACGAATTGTTTGAGGAATTTTTCCTTTTTTTTTCTGAACTTGGGAACTTCGTGATGTTTCAGCAAAATTCACAAAAAAGAGACCAGTTTTGTGTAATCAACTTCTACAGTTTCAACCCAGATCCATGAATCTTCGCAAAAATTGCACACATATGACAAAGTTGTGTACCTGCTATTATACATTCTATTGTCATTGAATTGTTTGAGAAATTTGTTCCCATTTTTCCAAACTTGGAAACTTGGTAATTTGTTCAGCAAAAATTACAAAAGATGGTATTCGTTTTGTGTTATCAACTTCTAGAGTTTTCTAGAAACCAAGAACCATGAAACTTCATAGAATGATTGCATATATGAATATAGAACATGCACCTGTTATTATAAAACTATTTTAATATTTTTTTCACATTTTTGAAGACTTGGGAACTTAGTAATTTTTCAAAAGATGGTAACAATTTTTATCTTTAACCCAGATCTTTGGAACTTCACATTGAGTTTGCAAGCCTCTCGTTTGTGCACCTTCCACCATAAACTTGTTGAAAGATTTTTGAATTTTTCCCATTTTCCATTTTATATTTCCATATATCTAAATGTTCAGTATAATTGTAGACCATTTTTTGTTTGTTTTAAAAACAATCTGTGCAACTTAGCCATTTGAGTCTTTTATCCATTTTTATATAATAATTTTCAGAGGGTACAACAAAGGACTTTTTCCTATCTGGATACATTTACAAGTATATATTTAAAACAGTAGTTTTGGAAAAGGATGTGGAAACTCATCAATAAGTCACTAGATGATGGATTAGGCTGCATGAAAATATTCTGAGTGGGCCTTGTATTACTGATCAGTTATGTCAAATTTGGCCGACAATTTGACCCTGGTTTAAGAAAAGATTGAAATATCTATTTAACTTACATTGACAGTTCTGACTACAGATGCCAAGTGATTACACCATTGACACTTGCTAAATAACCAAATTTTACACTTGTCTGTAAATAATTGGTATTTTTATTATAAATTGATACAATTGTTTGTATTAATATCACATTTGAATACATATACATGTATTACTATTGCACATAAATTAGACATCACATACATGAAAAAATGGGAGAATTTAAACATTGTCTATTACATTTTATGATCAATAAAGATGTCCATACATTGTATAATGTACTACATATGGCTGAAACTTTCTTTTTCCAAAAATCATTAAACACAATCAGAACCAGACTGAAATAATAAAGTAAGTTATCTGCCTTGTAAGGGATCAGCACATATCAGTTTAGTTCTACTTCATTTCAATTTTAATTGGAATGGTCAGTAAATCATGAATGTCTTTTTATTCCAAATAAATTACACATCAAAGTCCACCATAGTTTCACCTCTGTATAGTTTTCAGTTGATCTTGAATATCATCAATAGTACTCATACTGAAACAGAAGGGATATACTATTATTTCAAAGAGGTAATTTAGGGTTTTTACATTGCTCATTTTAGCTGTTAATCAATTTATTATGTTCAGAAGTTAAATTAAAAGGGTTCACCCATTGTCCAGATTAAACATGAATATAACCAATATTGTCAATGGTTGAGTATTCAAATATGGACAGTCCTGTTTTCAACCAACCTAATCTCATTTGAACCACCTAAAACAAATGCAGACAGTCTTGCCGACAACACAGATTTTTTTTTGTTGTTCCAGAAAAATTCTACATACAGACACTTGTGTTAATTAAAAAAAAAAAAATTTTAAGTCTAAAAATATCTAATAATGAGGATCTTGATGGGCCATACAGGAAAGAGATTAATGGACAAAAAATGCAGAATAAAGGACAAAAAAGAAAAGACAAAAATAGGCAAAGAATAAAGAGTAATTGGCAAAAAAAAATAGAGAAAAATGGTATAGCCAATTAAAGGATAAAAAATTGAGGGATCCCCATCCAACATTTCCAAACCCTCAGCAATAGGCAGTGACATAGATCAATGTTTTTCCTATGCTTCTGAGAAACAGTTTTACAGTGAAGATGGATGAAATGTATATATTAATTGAATTTAGAACTCCAGAATGAACACTTACCTTCTCTCTACTGCTGATTCTCTGAAAAGTAAAACAAAGCAACATGATTGTTTCTTCCTGTTCAGGACATTGCTGTATAAAATCTACTTGGAAGTAAAGCCACTGATGTAATGTATGAAAACAAGAAATTTATATCATCAGGTTTATAAGTTCTTTGATCTTTAGCATTCAGAAACTGACTGGTATTATTTATTTTTCATATTGTTTTTCTGGTATTTGTGATTTTATTTATTATACTGGTAACATAAAGGTTAGTTTTTTTTTTAACTTATTTTTCTATGTCCCTTTGATTATCCCACTGATTAATATTTAAAATGGGGAGGGTTGGGTGCTGTAAAAACATAATGAACAGTGCCTTAATATGTTCATGTATCTGTCCCATGTCAGGAACCAGTAAGTGGTTGTCTTTAGTTACACTTAATGTAGATTGTTTTCCTATAAGGAATTTTGTATTGAAGGCACTGAGAAGATAATTACCCCATTACAAAGTACATATCTTTGAATGTGTGTCTCAAATGGTCAAGATTTTGTAACTTTCTCAATTTTACCAAATATTCTGTCATTTGATAACTGTATACCGTACGGGTAAGTTGTAACCAATGACACGAAAATACTTTTAAAAAATAGCTTTGTTTTTCAACATGTAATTCTGCTAATTAAAGAACTTAATTTCATTTTTGAAATTCAATTAATTTTAGGGATAATTTTCAAGCCATTTGTACTCTCCTTTGTAAGTGTTGAAAAATGTATTATAATAATATGTTTTATTCATTACAATTTTTGCTACTTCTCTTTTATGTAACCAGTAATCTGTTTGTTTTTCTAATTAAAAATAAAATGCTTCGCTGGGGCGCAGCTTGATACGACCGCAGAGGTCGAACCCTGAACAGTTGGGGCAAGTATGGACACAACATTCAAGCTTGATACAGCTCTGAATTTGGATTGTTATTAAATATTTGACACAGCATAGGTTTCTGACACAGAAAGAATGTGGTCTAAGAACTTGAATTTTTTTAATTTACCTATTATGGTCCAATGTCCAAAATCAAAATACATGGTTAGATTCAGCATATCAAAGAACCCCATATATTCAATTTTTGTTAAAATCAAACAAAGTTTAATTTTGGACCCCAAATGGGACAAACTTGAAAACTGGGCCCATAATCAAAAATCTAAACACATGTTTAGATTCAGCATATCAAAGAACCCCAAGAATTCAATTTTTGTTAAAATCAAACTAAGTTTAATTTTGGACCCTTTGGACCTCAATGAAGACCAATTTAAAAAACGGGACCCAAATTAAAAATCTAAAAACACAGTTAGATTTGGCATATCAAAGAACCCCAATAATTCAATTTTTGATGAAATCAAACAAAGTTTAATTTTGGACCCTTTTGACCTCAATATGAACCAATTTGATAGCGGGGCCCACAAATAAAAAATCTAAATACATGGTTAGATTCAGCATATCAAAGAACCTCATATATTCAATTTTTGTTGAAATCAAACAAAGTTTAATTTTGGACCCCAATTTGGACCAACTTGAAAACTGGGCCCATAATCAAAAATCTAAATACATGTTTAGATTCAGCATATCAAAGAACCCCATATATTCAATTTTTGTTGAAATCAAACAAAGTTTAAAAACTGGACCCTATCTTGGACCAACTTGAAAACTGGGCCCATAATCAAAAATCTAAACACATGTTTAGATTCAGCATATCAAAGAACCCCAAGAATTCAATTTTTGTTAAAATCAAACTAAGTTTAATTTTGGACCCTTTGGACCTTAATGTAGACCAATTTAAAAAACAGGACCCAAAATTAAAAATCTAAATACACGGTTAGATTTGGAATATCAAAGAACCCCAATAGTTCAATTTTAGATGAAATCAAACAAAGTTAAATTTTGGACCCTTTTGACCTCAATATGAACCAATTTGGGTCCACAAATAAAAAATCTAAATACATGGTTAGATTCAGCATATCAAAGAACCTCATATATTCAATTTTTGTTGAAATCAAACAAAGTTTAATTTTGGACCCCAATTTGGACCAACTTGAAAACTGGGCCAAAAATCAAAAATCTAAATACACGTTTAGATTCAGCATATCAAAGAACCTCATATATTCAATTTTTGCTAAAATCAAACAAAGTTGAATTTTGGACCCTTTGGACCTTAATGTAGACCAATTTGAAAACTGGACCCAAAATTAAAAATCTAAATACACTGTTAGATTCGGCATAACAAATAAATAAATGTGATCAAAGATTTTACAAATCTAATGCGCCATACTGTGCAATTAAAGATTACTTCTTGAAATTTTTCAATATTTGAAATTTGAAAAAAAAATAATATTTGAAGAATAATTCTTTTTAATTTCTGAAATCTGAAATGAGAAAAAATTGACCCCCCACAATTTCTTTTTATCCCCCCCCCTTTTTTTTCCCCCCAAAAATTCTTTCCCTCAAGATATGGCCATAATCTCAATTCAAATTTCCAATGGAGTTGGCAACCATAATTACCCATTTAAATTTACCATAGTGCTAACTTAATCTATTTTATAATAGAATTAAAAATATAGTGTCAAATCTTTCATATGGATTTTTTTGTAAAAAAAAAAGATGCAACATTTGCAGATATTTTTACTGGTCTTCCTTTATAAATATGCATTTCTTTAAACATAATTTAAAAGCAGTGTAAGGGAAGTAACCAAAACGTTGTATTTGGATTACCTCCCTTACACTGTTTTAAATTATCTTTATTGTTCATTAACCATTACTTTATACATAATTTAAAAGCAGTGTAAGGGAGATAATTTCAATGATGTATTTGATTTATCTCCCTTACACTGCTTTAAATTATGTTTTGTACTAAAGTATTTGTCCATTAACCAGGACAACCTTGTTTTTCCCCCTTTTTTGCCCCTAATTCCTAAACGGTTTGAGCCATAACCCCCCAAAGCAAATCCTAACCATCCTTGGTGGTATGGAAACTTGTAGTATAATTTCAGAGAGATCCATACACCGTTCCACAGTTATTGTCTGGAAACTAGAAAATGCTTATTTTTTGCCCCTTTTTGGCCCCTAATTCCTTAACTGTTGGTACCATAACCCCCAAAATCAATCCCAACCTTCCTTTTGTGGTATTTAACCTTATGGTCAAATTTCAAAAAGATCCATTCACTTAAACTAAAGTTAGAGTGCGAAAACCAATGTGTATTCGGACGACGACGCCGGACGACGACGACGACGACGACGACGACGACGCCAACGTCATACCAATATACGACCACAAAATTTTTTGCGGTCGTATAACCAGTAATAAGACATGATTACCAGTGGCAGATCCAGGGAGGGTTCCAGGGTTTGAAACCCCCTTTTTTTGGACGATCAATGCTTTTGAATGGGGACATATAGTTGGAACCCCCCCTTTTAAAAATGGCTGGATCCGCCCCTGATTACATATTACCAATATCTATGGCAAGCCGTTTTACTATTTATTCTAACTTCATGATATCTAATAAACTTTATAAGATATCTCATATAGTTTATAAGATATCTTATATAGTTTACAAGATATCCCATATAATTTTCTTTATAAGATATCTTATAAATTTTATGAGATATCTTATAAAGTATATGAGATATCTTATAAACTATATAAGATATCTTATAAAATATATGAGATATCTTATAAAGAATATAAGAAATTTTATATAAAACATATATTTATAAGATATCTTATAAACTTTAGAAGATATCTTATAAAGTATATAATATATCTTATAAACTATATGAGATATCTTATATCTTATATATATTATATAAGATATCTTATATAATAAATAAGATATCTTATATTATATATAAGATATCTTATAAAAACTAGATTATATAAGATATCTAATATATAAGATATCTTATATTTATAAGATATCTCATATATTATATGAGATAACTTGAAGTTCGAATAAATAGTAAAATGGCTTGCCATAAATATCTATTACCTGTTGCAAAAACATGCTACCACTGCCAAAACCAATGAAAAAATTGTGACCAAAGATATATCAATACTTATCTTTTTAAAGGACTAAAATTATATTGTAGGCTCAGTCATATAAATGTTTGTTTGCATAAGTAATATTAATTTTTAGTTTCACTTACTGGAATTCCAACTGTGTTGTGATATTCTGCATTTTTGTTAAAGACTGAAATTTAAAATATAAAGCTATATTATCAGATTCATAAATGATAAATAACACATTTGAACTGAATCTGAATCTTAGGATTTTAAACACATTAAAGGGATATCAGGGCAAGATGCAGCAGCATCTGAAAAGGGTCTGGTGCTCAAAATTTTATCTTGTGAAAGAGGGTAATCCTGAGCTTTCTCTTCAGATTTCAATGTCATTTTTTATTTATTTTTTACAAAGAATGTAGACCCCTATTGATCAGTAAATGGATGTTATACCCACATGGTGAAACGTCAGTAAACAAATGATGTTATACCACAATCTAACATATCTTCTCTACTTTGAATAGAGGAAGATACGTTGTAAGACTTCTTTGAGTCTAAAATTTGTTTACTCTGATTGTCAAAATTGGAATCCAGTTAACAAATAGGTGGGTCTCATTGGGTTCTAAGCGTGACATGGGATTGGATGAACGTTTGTAAGTGTGACAAGTGAAAGTCAAATTTTTTGTGCGTGAAAACGGGAAACAAAGTCGGGCGGGACATGTGAAATTACAAGTGTTATTATTACAATGATAAGTGGGATACAGGAATCTGACAAAACAATCACAGGATCTGGGATATGCCCCCCTCAATAAGAACCCCAAATAGTATAAGCTCACTCCAATTTTACCAATTTTTTCCAATTTGAATTGTAAGAATGAAATCAAAAACAATTTTAGTTTTTTTAATTTGGAAAATTCACTAAAACTTAAGTTACAAGTCCCTCTTGCAAAGTTGGCCTTAGATAATAGAGCCTCTGTTTAGGCTCTTTTTGTTTTTGATGCTTGAGAACTACATTGTATTAAATTACATTTTGTTTATAACATTTTTTGGAAAGTACTGATATTAAGTTCGCTAACAAAAAAATGAATTGTTATGTATTCCTACTCAAATCTAACCTTTTACATGAAAATATCTTCAATGTAAAAAAAGTTATGTAAAGGGAGATAATCATAATATAAAAAATGTACATACATAATCTCCCTTTTTTTATTTCATGATTACTAGTAATAAGTATTCAGAAAGTTGATCACCTCACTTATAAATTTGCTACTTTTTGGTCATTATTAACATGAACATATTGAACTGCAGAATACAAAATTTCACCTACATTTGCAGAATTCTGTATTATTTGTTCTTGGCAAGAAAAATTCTTTGCTGCTTGTGCAAGAAGCTAAAAATATAAAAACAATCATACACTTGTATTATTAGTATAAATAAATGTCTTTTCTAATGTTTGCAATTTCATTTACTTCAACTGTACACTGGAGATAGATCATGGTTTTCTGACTGTTTTTGTCTTTACACTTAATCAGTTGGATGTACATGTATACTCACTGATATTTAAGTCTGGAAGAACATAATTTATTTATTAGTTGTAATTGGCTTTGAACTAACTTTCTGTAACTGTGAGCATGGTGTGTCTTTTTATATATATATAAGAAGATGTGGTATGATTGTCAATGATACAACTATCTACCAGGGACCAAATGAGGTACATGAATTTCGCAACTATATCATGTACAAACTATCATACACTTAGACACAGTCAAAACCAGCAAAAACCTAGAGGTAAAAATCAGTAACAACCTAATCTTGGATAAAACTATCCATAATACAGTTGGTAAACTAAAAGGAAATAAAATATTAGGATTTAGGCTACAGAATCCCTGCATATATGTAAAGGCAGCAGCATTATACTTCCATGGTAAGACCTGCAGTCCAATATTCATGCACAATATGGGACCCAACAAACCGAAATAAGATAAAAACAATACAGCAGATACATAAAAAAAAGCAAGCATTGTGCACAACTACACAGACAAAACACTGATCTGTGTCACAAATATGGTAAAAAAAAAGACCTCAAAGAACAGGAAAATAAATAAGTTATGAAAGTGCTGTGGAGGTGCAAAAAAGTTTGATCTTGAAATATCTATACTTATTTGATTTCTTCAGAGAAAAATATGTATGATAATCAATCAAAGGTTTTGGTTAGTCTGAAAACTTTTTGAATTCTGAAATCAAAGACACTAAAAATAGATGACCTCAAACAATACTAAATCTTAAAAGGTAAATTAAGCAAATTTGTGTTTAGCTTACAGAAGAATAAAGATTTTTCTTTAACATTTTTAAATTTGGTTACACTAGATATATATCCATTAATTTAAATTGCAAACCCTTGTGAGGTGACAAAATCCAGACATCAAAATCTCACCAGAAGTGAAAAGAAATCACAAAGTTTGACAGAAAATTATATCACTTAAAAGGGTTTAATTCAATAAATCTGTTTATGGAACCATTAATCAGTCAGGGATATAACTCTATGGGTGCACTCGGTTGGCGTGCTCTGAACAGGTCCCGTCTGTTCTGAATCCAGACGTCAATCAAACGAATTGGAACCAGATGTATCTCACTGCTGGTAAACTCGGCCTAAAACAAACTCGGCCTATAGAAAACTCGTACCATAACAAACTCGGCCTGCTAGTATTTATATAAAAAAAAAATAAGTGAACAAGTCGGCATTGTAGATTGCGTTTCTTATTGTTTTTTGTTTAATCTTTTATTTTATTTTTAAGTTACTTAATTTATAACAATATATACGAATTTACGAAATGATAATAAATAATTTGAATTTTCGAGTGGCAAGACATAATTGCAAATGGCTTCACTTTTCTGTAAGCTGGATCTTTTGGCCTTTCCGAACAAAACATGACATTTTTTAGTGTGCAAATAAAAAATTCTGACTTCAAAGTTGTCATGATTATCATTTTACGAAAAAGACATCAGACGGCCACTATAAAGTGTTATTCTTACAGAAAAAGAGTGTTTTATTGCATATTTTTTCTTAAAATAATGCTTATATGATCAAGTAAGTTGATATATATTGAACCAATGAACCAATGATTTGTATAGTCTTACTATACAAATCCTTGATTGAACTGATTATCAATTTGCAGTTTTTATTTCACTGAAAGCTAAAGATTTTTGTATCTTTACCTTTCAGTTTCCTTCTCCGCCATTTTGAATTCTGTCTGCACCACTTGGAACGCGTTCAGAACACAGTTCTGTCTTGTTTTATTGAACTTCTGGTTGATTCCGTGCATTCCGATCGTCTGGAACTCGCCAAATAAGCGCAACCCAAAGGGTTATTAGAGAAAAATAACATACATTTGTTATTGTGGACTAAAAACTCCAAAAACTGTGATCAAATATGTATGTTACATGTTTCAAAGGGGCAATATACATCCTTTGTTTTGTTAAAATGTATACAAGTTATTATTATTGTCTTTATGTATACTAAACTTAAGAAAGATATAACAGTTCATAGTTTGCCAATCATGCATAGTACACCTATGTTATTACAGAAAAATTATGCCTGTTATAACTATTATTTTATGAGGGACAGGGCATGACCCCCAGGGACAAACCCTTAGCTGCACTGAAAAGGTCTTGCATGTTCTGTGGCCTATAAATGCTTATTACCACTTCATTTTAACTGTGGTGGATTATTGTCTCATAAGCAATCAGTCCACATCTCTTCATTTTCATATTGACATGGCAAGAAAGAATATGTTTGGTTTAAAAGTGGCATATGAAATTAAATATTTGACCTTGACTTTTTATTTGACCTTAAAGGTGAAAGATCAAGGTCATCATCCATTATACCTGACACATGATATTGAGGTGCTGCACTTGTGTGTCAAGTATTAAAATACTTTGTCAAGGGAGAGGAAAAAGTGTGCTCCAGATAAGAAAATGTAAAAAAATCAAGTATTTTGACCTTGAGGTCAAAGGTCAAGGTCATTTAACGGTTTTAATTTTTATGAGATACACTGTCTTATTGTAATACACCTTCATGCCAAATATCATAAGCTAGTGTCAAAAGATAAATAAGTTTTCATTATTAAATACAGGGATTATTGTGAAAAATAAGTGAAAATTACTCATTTTTGTTCCATTGCCATGGTAACGGTGTGAGAGACCCCAGCTCAAAAACCATAAAATTTGTAGCACACATGTAAACATTTATAGAAATATTTGAAACATTAAAAAATGCATTGTACTTTACAAGATTTCCTGTCTTTTTGTTGATCTTTTTAGGAAGTATCCAAAAAATGTCCAAAATGCCCTTTTTAGACCGGTCAGCCCCAAAATATAGCTTTACTCAAGCAAAAACATTTTGTCAAGTTTCAAAGGACGAATGATGCTTGTTATTAAAATCAACTCACATATCAGCTAAACATAACCATATCTAGAATATTCAGAGTAACAAAATTGTGACATTTTTGTGGAAATTTTGGGAAATTAAGCCTTTTCCAATAGATGGTACTGCAAAATCTAAAAATAGCCTTAAATCAAATTTTAAACTTAAAGTTAGAATTTTTTTTCTCTTGACTATCATAACATTTGTGCCAAATTTCATTACAATTGGTTGACATGTCATGTGGACCCACTTATAAGCCTTTTGCCATGTTTGCATGGTTCTATCAAAGACTGGGTGTTAAGCAGTTAAGCCTAAAGTTAAGGGCAAGAATGTTGTCAACAAGCAATTACCTCATTCGATCTAGAAGATCTTACTAATTGCCTTGCCAGAGATGCCATATCCAAAATGTTTGTTGTCACTTTCTCGTTTAATTTAGTTTTTGTTTCTTGATTCCATTGCATTGAAGACATTTTAAATAATTTATGAAGAAAAGGGAAAATGAAAGTAAAACCGGAAGTTTCAAAATTCCATGAACAAAGGAGTCCGTTGAGGGAAAATGACGAGTTTATTCCGGAAAAAGAGTTATTAAAATTTGTTTTTATCAACTAATTTGAGTATAGCTAGTAAAATAAAGGAAAAGGATATATAAAAAATATCCAAAGAGATTTAAAAGTGTACACGGAAATCCCCTACATAAAGAAATAACTGTCACCTTAAAAAATGGGTCGGATTTTCACGACTCGACCATAGGCCGGTCTTGAATTTATATTCCAATGTTTACAAATGGCGCCAGAAATGTGTCTTGACTTGATAACCATTAATGTTTTTTAAGAAACGAGTCGTTTTAAAGACAAATGTCTTTGCATAAGGTACACCATGGATCCAATCAAACTGAAAGACAGGACCAGCATGACAGGAATGGGGAAACAAGTCAGCCTGACACGGCAAACAAGGAAAATTTATTGTCTGATCTCAGCGCGCACCTTGCAGTGCATGCAGAAAGAATGAAATTGTTGAAAAGGGCCGAAGAAGGCTTGGAAAAATTGAGTGCTGATCCTTTCATAGTAAACACAACTGAACATGGAAAACGGTACTATGATATCACTTAAATCGTATGGGATTGTACCTCAAATAATTGAAATATATGATTTTCAAGTTTGTGCATATTCCCATATATTTCCAATGTCACAATACTGATGTTATTTATGTGACAGTAAGAGTCATTGTTTTCATGAGGTCATTTATGCTGATTGACCTCAGGTCAACTGGCATAACTCATTCACCAAAAAAAACTAAAAATTGGTCTATCCCCAAAATCCAAATGTCAAAACCCCTCAAGAAAGAATTGTAATTCCGATTGTATACATGTGAACCTCCCGACGGGAGTACAATAATCCCGTTTTCAGGGGTCTCCTCCCATCCTCCCGTTGAAGAGAAAAAAATCCCATGAATGAAATATTTTCATGAATGAAAACTTTCATGTGTAACTCATTCCCTCTATTCCCACTTTTTATAAATATGGTAAGAAAAGTTAATATTTCATGTGGGAATAGGGGGAAAACTTGTGCAAACAAAGGATTATACTGTACAAACATTTTTTAATCAACTTTTAATTGACCAGTGTTTTTTTTATTAGGACAGGTAATAAGTTATTTTTGCATCTGTATGAATTCTGTTTTTTTTTTAAACAAAATAAATATGAAAGAAATTAAAATATACAATTTCTTTTATAACACAAATTCAACTGTAGATTCAAGCAAGCATAATATAACACAAATTATACAACAGCACTAAATCAAATCACACATTCTAGCACATACATTAGACAATCACTGTATACAAGTCTATTAAAGTTTATCAATCTATTCCACGTGAACAAGGTGGGAGGCTGCATCACCAAACTCTTAACTCAGTCAATTAAAATTAATCAAATCTGATTGCTCATGCTTTGAAGTAAAGTTAACAGTTTTCACCCATTATTTTACATCTTTGATTATTGGTGCAAGTAATTATATTTTTAGAGTATACTTTTGTTCCACATCTTAAGATTATACTTGGTTATAATATTATACATAAACAATGTACCAAATATGTTATGTTTAAAAAAAAAATACAGGTAAATCTTAGGTGAAAGTCTAATTAACCTTGATTGTTATAAAAACAAATTATTTATCAAAACATCTATTGTTATTTGCATGTGGGAATAGAAGGAATAGTATTTTTAAAAAGTGGGAATAGGAGGAAGACACCGTGTAACTGACATTACCTGAAGTTAAATTTTACCTGTAAATCAATGAACATGCATAATTATATGGCTTCACTTGCCAGCTTGGGTGTCAAACATACTGGTAATCAACGATTTTTACCTCAGGCTAACTGACGTTGTGTAATAAAACTTTGTGTATTTAAAAATAATTGAAATAAATTTTGGGTTACTTCCCTTGATTTCTCCTGTTTTAAGTTACTTTCCTTTAAATAATGAAAATTGTTAAAAGAATATAAATGAAATATAAATTGAACAAATAATCATATATGGATGGTAATTAAATGATTTTAAATGTCTTAGGACAATAAAAAAAATTAAAATTTGGAATTTATTTGAGGGTTCTATACTTCTTTTCAAGGTTTAAGTTGAAATTTATATAAAAAGTATGACCTAATAAATTGGTGTATGTTAAATAAAAAATTAAAATAAAATTTCTAGCATGAAAGAATATTCAATTTCCAGTGATTGTTTTACTGAATAAAGATATGAAAAAGCAACAAAAAAAGAAATCAAAGAATGTTCTAAAAAACATAATGTTACATTGATTAAAGATAAAGAACATTAATAAGTACAAGTAACATATTACATTTGGATGGAAAGTTGAAGAAATAACACTTTAAAACACAATTTCTACATCACACGGTTACATTTAGGACAAAATTTATGTCGATAAAAAACCTCCTGATCTGAGTCCTAATCTCCTGACCAAAATTTCCCAATCTCCTGATCTGAGTTTCACAGTCCATCACATGTATGTGTATACATTGGATAGAGTGCAAGGCAACTTGGACCATCTATAAAAATTACAACTCAGACCATCTATGAAGACAACTTGTACCATCAATAAGTCAACTTGGATTATAATAAATGTACAATTAGATAATGAACAACGAATTCAATTAATGGGTAAATTAAGTAAAGTTTCTTTAATTTTTAATGAATTACTAAAGATTTTATTCAAATGATGAAGTAGGATAAGTTGACTCATTGACAGAATTTAGCTTAAAAAAAATTAATAACGAATTCAGCTAATAAAAAAAATAAATTCAAACTTGAATTTTTTTGCTTTAATTAAGTTTTATAATACATTAATATAGATATTAAGTAGAAACTTGGTTTCACATGAAGCAAATTATTTTGATAATGTTTTGCAAATTCAGCAACATTTAAATGATACTTTCATGTAGAATTTAACATTTTATCATTTATAGTCCACACCCTCTTTTAATACTAATTTGTCCGAGATGTTATCATAGACGGTACTAGTTGACTTTGTAGACGGTCCAAAATGACTTTGACCGTCCGAATTGACTTATTAGTCTGTCCGAGATGTCACAAGTTGAGTTCTCCCATATTTGTTGTATGATTGTAGTTCCAAAAGATTCTTCAAATGATAAAAAGACTATGATTAAAGTAGGGCTTCCAAAAAATATTTGAGCTAGCCGGACATTTTTTCAATCACGTTTTTTTTATCCCTTTAGACAGGTTACCACATAACAAAAGATGGACATAACTGTATGATAAAGCCATTAGGCGTTAAACTATTAAAGGACGATAAACTTCATAGACTGCATACTTTTTCAGTTTTTATATAAATTCCATTTTTGGCTTTAACAATTACAATGATAGTGCATGGTTCGAATTGGCATATATCCGCAGACTTAACAAAGTGTATTAGTCAGTCGAGGACCAGCTTAGTTATTTGATAAACACGTTTTCCAATATTTACCGGATATTTACTAGACAACAATAGAGCGCGGAACGGAGACGGTTGTGCAAAACCCTTGTATTTTTATCTAGCATTATTGAGGTTAAGCAGTTCTTTCCACGTTATTTCTTAGGGAAAATACTTGAGATGAACGTAAGATAATGGTTTAAATGACATTTTTATCGTTTTGGATGAATTCGGATGCATTATTAAATAATAAATTTTACACTTGTGCACATGCGCACACTTCTAATATTTCAATCGACATGGTTCTGTCTGTTAAACTTTTTTACCACCTTTGTAAATTATGTGGACAGGATACCCTTTGGGTGCCCCTGAGTGGGAGTCCCCCGAATGACCCCCCCCCCCATGTCGGAGGGGGCATTAAGTTTTACCCTTGTCCATCTGTACGTCCATCCGTCTGTCCGTACGTCCCAAAGTTGGTTTCCGTTCTCTTACTTTAGTTTGCCTCAACCAAATGTTATGAAACTTATACAAAATGCTTATTACCACAAAACACAGATCAAGTTTGAATTTTAGTGGCATCACTTTAACCGTTCTTATGCTCCTTAACAAATGAAAAAATTGCTGATTTTTTTGTTTCCATTCTATAACTTTAAATTGCCTCAGCCAAATGTTATGAAACTTGTACGAAATGCTTATTACCACAAAACACAGATCAAGTTTGAATTTTGGTGGCGTCACTTTTACTGTTCTAGAGTTATTTTTCGTTTCTGTTCTCTAATTTAAGTTTGCCTCAACCAAATGTTATGAAAATTATACACAATACGTATTACCACAAAACTCAGATCAAGTACAAATTTGGATAGGGTAACTTTTACTGTTCTTCAGTTATGTCCCTTTATAACTTTATATGATATGCAAGAGGGGGCATCATCTGTGTCCCATGGACACATTCCACATTTATTTATTAAATTGTTTCCAGTTGGAATATATGTCGAAGCAGCATTTGAGATATTTGCTGGTTGACTGATATTATGTATCATAATCAACTGTATACAAGTACCTGTGACATGTATATGTAAAATTGTATCAAATAAAAATAGGTTTTTGGTGAGGGGTATTTCTAGACAGAGGCAACAGATTTTGTAGTCACTGATTTAATTCAAAATGTATTGCTTTGTTCCTGTGACAAGCTTTGAGCTGATGAACACAGATTTTGGAAATGATATAAAACACACATTACAATGTGATTTGTATTGTTTTTTTTTTATAGTATTATCATGTAATTTTTAATTATACGTTGTAGTATTGATTTGTTTAGTGTGTTTATAACATTTATATGTTTTCTTTTTTATAGTAGGAAAGACAAGTTATGTGCAACACAAACAATTGAAATAAAGCAAGATAAAGTTGCCAATGTTCTTGAGCAAAAGAAATCCAAACTTCCAATATCTGCTGCAAGACAACGTCGAAGAGAACGAAAAGATGGTGGTAAAAGTAAAATTCAGATTAAAAACTACAAACCAGGCTATACTTGGAACAGAGGTGGGAGAGTGAAGGAACTAAGAATAAGGTACATGGTGTATAATTTGTTTTTTTTTCAAATTTATATGAGCTTCTTCTACATATAAGGAATTTCCTCTGAAGATCAGCTATTTCTCATCTATCCCAACAATCTGTAGAATGTATATTATACTGGTAGATACATATATATATAATCAAAAGGTAACAAAATAACTACACTTTTGTTCAGTTTGAAATATTCAAATATCTTGGGTAGCAGGAAAGTGATATACAGTTTTAAATATATCTCATATAAAAAATGGACAACATTTTTAATAGTTGAAAGCTGAAAAAATCCTTTATTTCAGATGTTTGGCTAGGAAATTTTCTCAGATATGGAAAAAGCAGACATTTGGAAGAGTGATGCCAAGTACAGCCAGGTTGTTTTCCTCATTTTATGTATATTATAACATATAGATTTATTGGATTTTATGTTAGTATACAGTCTGTGGCCAAAGCATAGATTTTTCTAGTGTTCCACAGGGTCCGGTATTCAGACCCATTCCCAATGGCAAAAACCCTCCATTTTTCCCAATTTTGGGAGCAAGATTCCCAAACGATCTCAAAATTCATTTTCATCTTTATTATTCATGACAGCGATGTTCAGTTTGTGCAACCGCTAGCTTTATGCCGAAAATCGCCAACAAGTAATGTGTAAATCAGAGTTAAAACATATCTGACTGACAAAAACAACATGGACAAACAATGGCCGCCATAAACCGGAAATGTTCACAATTACAATACTGGATCAGATTCTGGGAGTGGATAAGGCTAATTTTGGGTTTGCTGATCAAATACAATAAAAAAAAAATTTGTTAAATTCCAGGCAGGTGACAAAATACAGCTGTGAAATATAAACACTAGAATTGAAAACCAAAAGATGTATGAAAAAGAAAGAAGAAACAGGAAATATTTTATACAGAAACTCTAAATTATTTTTAGTTCACAAATTTTCATGTCAAAATCTGGGACTATTATACTAGTTATGTTAGTATAATAGTCCCAGTCAAAATCCAATAAAATGTCACATTACTTTTCTTTATCACTAAAAAATGTATAAGATGTTTTTATAATGTAAACATATAACTACAGATCCAAGAGGTAATTTCTTCTCAATTTTGAAAGGCCAGTAAAAATCTGGAAGAGCAAGTGAATTTAGAAAAGTGTTAGCCTGCTTGGCCAGTTAAAATACATCTTATTTCTATTCCTGATTTATTTATTATATTAACTGTTATTGTCTTCTGAGATTACTATAACACATTATAGTAGTCTCAGCTGGCTTTGAAGATAAAAAAAATTTTAAGAACTGTGATATTTTGATACTAAAATAAACTTGAGTGCCTTGTTGTCAAGTTTAAAAACAAAAAGGACAGAAAATAAAATTATAAATAGCAATCATGTACATAGTTTCTTACTTCATTTTCACAATAAAAAAAATGATAATCTTTAATGAACTAAACACACTAAAACTCACATCTGGTATATTTGTTGTTTTCCCAATTTCATTGAAAATCACGAAAAAAAATTCCCAAAACTGGCCAGGGTCCTTTTCCCAAAATACCCAGAAAAACCCCTGCAAAGGATTCAGATACTTTCTATTTAAGGAACAACAGTACTGGTGCTCTTTTTTGAAGAGTTGCCCCTATCAATTGAGGATTTAATGACCTGAAATGTAGTTTATTCTTCAAACAATTGGGGATTTGATGTTATGCTAATTGACAGTGTTAACTCTTCAAATACATTACTGTTGTACTTGTTACTATTTTTTTCTAGTTCTATTTTAGTTAAGTAGGATGAAACATTTTTAATACCCAGGAGGATCGGTATGAGGCACAACAATCCAGCATACTAGAATTTATAGTTTACTCAAATGACACAAAATGCTATTTTTATACCCATACTGTTTTACCTCTGTCTGTCCATCCATCCGTCAGTCCGTCCGTCCATCCCATGAATATTTTTCGTCGCATCTTTCTCAGGAACTACACTACAAGGATTTCTGAAATTTGGTTGATAAGTCAGCTATACCGTGTGATGCGTTTTCAGATTCATCACTCAACAACTTCCTGTTTACCGTCAAGTATTTGGGCGGGGGTATCATCAGTGAGCAGTAGCTCACAGTTTCACTTGTTTAAATAAGTTTTTAGAACGGCAATAAAATCAGGGTCAGTTGGGAGGCAGGTAACAGGTGAACATGAAATTTTTTCTAAGCTTATCAAAATTGGCCAAAATTGTAGCTTGATTTATTTCATATGGTTTACTTGTCCCAATGGTACACTGGGGATTTTAAAAAAAAACACAATATGATAGAATATTGGTATAAAGTTCTGGACATGCTCTATTCAGTAACTTTGTATTGGTTTATTTCAGATATCATTACCAGAAACACATAATGAAATTAGCATTTAATGAATGGTATGATATGTGGTGGCATGTTAGAAAAGAGTGGAGACTAATGGTTAGAGCAGAGTGCCATTTTAGGTATCGTAACACTTTCTTGATTCTTCATCATACTTTCACTTAAGACATATATAAAAAAAAAATCATATACACACAGATTTATATAACTGCATGCAGCAAGATATGTTGTTCATCCTGAATATGCAAGAAATATTTGCTCCTGGACCAGGGTTTCCGCTTGACCTTGCGAAAAAAAAATAATTGGGGCGATTTAAAATCATGATTGGTGAAAGAATTTGGCGAAAAAAATATAATAATAATGGTTTGATTTTGTCCATCTTGTTAATTTTGTTTTAGGTTTCTGGGACTTTTTCCCTTATCAGGCAATACTTGGATTTCACAGATTTCAACTTGAACTTGTCATGCGTATCAATTTTGTCAGAAATTCAATAATCAGCTGATTGCATTTGATAGCAATTGGCAACAATGGATTTTTTTAGGAAGTTGTTACTTGTATTATTAATGAAAATGTTTGTAAAATGGCGTCACATGTCATAACAAAAGATTGATTTTACAAATTTGATAAGGAAATAATTGTTTTAAAGTGGGTATAATCGTTTTAGTGGTGCACATGTTTTAAGCATAGTTTTATGTCTCAAATTTTACTTTTAACAATGGTTCAGAAAGAAAACTATTGTTTTGAAGAAATGGTTCAAAAGTAAGAGAAATCTCTGATTTTATTCTCTGTCCTTTGACTAGGCAGGAAGTATCCAATAAACTGATTGAAGATGAATCCCGTGTTCCCAGATGTCAAATTTTACAGTATCTTAAAAAAAGTTTTAAGAAAGTTTTGTTCTAATTGAGTGTTCATTTATTACAATGAAGGATATGAAATAGATATGTAGAATTATAATAATGTTGGCGAAAAAAATAATGTTTTGGGGAAAGAGGTGGGAAAAAAATTGACCCAGGGGAAACCCTCCCCTGGACATTAAGCAAATGGCAAACAATCTTTTTTTTTTCATGACAGCTTAAAATTTTCAAATGTGAAGCTTGTTTCAGATATTTGAAATATTAACTGAATGGACAATATTAATTTATTCATGCTAACCATAATGCATAGTCCAATTCAATTTCCCTATAATGTGCCCCAAATCACAAAATCTAAAACTTAGGTTGGTTCCTTGAGTAGAATATTCAATATACCTCTGGAACTTGTCAAATACCAGACTGTCTACAACTAGCTAGGATAAATAGGTCAAAATATTATGTCCCTGAATCAAACCACTAAATTAAATGTAATAGTCTTAGTGATAAATATAGCTATTTTTATGATATTAACCAATCAGAGTCTTCGTATTCAATCACCAATTTTGTAACAAATCCATGATCTGGTCTATGGGGATATTGGAATTGGTCAATTGTTACTAACCAGTTTGGGTTCTGTTGCATTGTTATGTAAGACACTGCTGCCCATATGCAGTGCAAGTTTGAAAAAAAATTAAACAAGCACAATGAATTAGCTCTGACAAGTGAAAGCATCAAATGTTGGGTAAGCATTTGTATTTGTTGGGGTAGTGAAACATCAACATTTAAAAGCTCTGGGCTAGTGACTATGTGAGGTTGTCAAGAAAATTTCATAAAAAATTGCATTAGACAAATAGTTATGGCCATGCACTTTATATATGGACCAGCTGGTGTTGAAAGATCAATTTGAATAATATAAGTTATTAGTAGAATAATATCCTTAAATGTCTGTTGTAATCTGCTTTCAGATACTTAGCTTGGACAAAATACTTTGAAGCATGGAAAGAGTTTATAGTATACAAAAAGGAAGAAAAAAGAAAAAAGATAATTGCAGTTAAACATGGTAATTTGATATCTGCTATTGTCCTTGAAAATTTTTGCATTGTGATATTATCTACTACTACTTGGTGTTTTTTTTAACGACATTGACTACCCATGAGGGTCTCTCACGGTCTATTTCTTCAATTTTCTCAATGAACTATTAAGGTGTCTATTTGGACTGTTTTGATTATATACAAAATTTTCAGACAAAATGCTATAAATGTTACTAATTTTATAAAGAAGGTGTATGTCACTATGTCATTGTGACCGACCGTGCAAGGGCTGTATAGCCAGTCAAGGTCGTTTAAAACTTCCATTTGTTGTTGTCATTGTGAGGTAAAACTGATCAATGTAAAAATTTGAGCTCACAAAAAAATGTATATTTTCAAAGTAAATTTTGTATAATACTGTTTTCTTTAATGACATTTTTCCCAATGACTATAGATACTAAACAGATTCTTCAGAAGGCACTGAACTCTTGGAAGGAATATACATTTTCACAGAAACTGAAAAATAAGAAGAAAATTGAAGCAGCTAAGTTCTATGAAAATAGTCTTGTAAAGTAAGTAGTATGATTGTAAGAAAAACACTTACTTCTTGTGTGCTTATCTCTTTATTTAACGATGATGATGGATTGCTGTTTATCATCCAGCAGCACCTACATGCTGAGCTGAATTTTTAACATGCTAGTTCACAAACTAACAGTATGCAGGCAACATGATACCCTACTTGAGCACATTATTCAGACTCTGAATCCAGACAGTCTCTGGTCATACTCCTATGTGGCCCATGCTTAGCTGAGAAGCAGCAAATACCAATTTTCAAGTCCTTGGTTTGACCCAGCTGTGGAGTGAACCCATGACCTCCTGCACTCCAGGAGAACAAGCTACCATGAGACTACAGAGGCATTTTGTCTCTTTATAAATGAACATTTGTTTACTCAAACTTTAGGCAGCATCAAATTCATTTTCAGATTCTAATACTCCTTTCATAAAAATATGGTGAAGAATAGAGGATTAATTTTTTACATTTTTGTGCCCCCGCCGTAGGAGACGGGGTCATTAAGTGTTACCCTTGACCATCCTTCTTTCTGTCTGTCTGTCCCATTTTTGTTGCAGAGCTTGAGTGGGGGCCTTTGTGTCCTCAAACACATTCTTTTTTTATTGAAAATAATTTTCACTCATATTGCAATAAATTGAAATTTATAATGGAAAAATGTAGAATAAAATATAAAATTGAAGAATAAATCTTTGTAGAGATAGAATGAGTTTTAAAGATTGTATTTTTATGTTGTTTCACTGATTTATTTAGACACTGCCAATATTAAGAGAGAAAAGGATATATGGCAATCCAACAACACAAAATAACAAAAATGCATATATATAGAGGTCACCATATGACCTCAACAGTAATTATGAGATTTGTTTTAAGGAAACTTAATCTTCTGTTGAATTTCGTTTTCATTGAAAAACTTATAAATATAAATCTAATAAATGATCATAATATAGACTAGTCTTGAAAGTACAATGTTTTATTCATGGACATTTTAGGTCGTTGTTAGTGAAAGGTTTATAATATGAAGTGCAGTGTAAAAAAAATTATACTTACCATCCAAATCATCCAAATCAAGTACATTTGTAATATGAAATCTACAGTATTTTCTAATTGCATTGTTCAAGTTTAAATTAACTTTATACAATGTTGCGCCATGTATATTTTTTTTTTAATATTTCAGAAAAAATTGGCATACTTGGAAAGAAAGATACGATATGAAACAACACAGGAAGAATATTGATGTTGTGGCTCTTCAGTTTTGGGCTTATCGTCTTCAAGTACAGGTAATGACAGTTATAAGAAATGACGTTTAAATTAGTCTAGAATTTCAATGATTAAAAATTTTAAAAACAATATAAATTTTATTATTCTTTTTAAAAGCACACTTATAACTTTATATTTTTGGGAAATCGCTACAAGTTGTAAGAATAATTATTGCAGTGCCTTAAACTGTAAATTCTGATTAGATTATACTTGTTTGCTCCCAAAATCTAAATTTAAAGAGCCTAAAAAAATTTTAGGGTCCCTGCTTTTTTTCAAGCCTACGACATTTATGTTGTTAAAGCGAGACATAGCGATCCTTGATTCTGTCGTTTTTTGGTGGTGGCGTCGTCAACATTTAGTTTCAGTCTGTGCTTAAAGTTTTTAATACATCAATAACTTTGGCAAGGCTTCAAGGAATTTTATGAAATTTGGACAGAAGCTTGTTATGACCAAAAGACAGTATCCAGAGCAAAATTTTGAAAATATTCATATTCATTTTTTCATATTTTACTGATAAATGGACTTAACAAGCACAGTCGAAACACAGGGTTCCGCGGAAACCTTTACAAATTTTAAAAAAAAAATGCTGTCATGAACTGGATTATATTTTTTTTCTAATTAAATGTTATTGTTAATGTGCAAAATACTTTGTTACATGTACTAACTTACTCAGCATTGGTTGATTTGGTGTGATGCTTACAAGAGAAGACAAGTTTATCATAGCAAAGCAAGGTTGGCTATCAGACATAACAAATTCTATACCATGCAAAGAGCACTGACGGCATGGATGGAATTCTGGACCATGAAGAAAGAAAAGCAAAAAGAAAAAGGTGGGCAATAAAAAATATAATATGAAAGAAAAAATAAGGGATGTTGGTTTATGTGTGCAGAATATCATTAATTCATAATCATTAATTTTCTCTTTATAAAAATAAGAAGATGTGGTAGGATTGCCAATGAGACCTCTTTCCACCAAAGACAAAAAGACAAAAAAGTGGCATCTGCCACAATTCTCCAGTGAGAAAAACATTGGTCTTTTCACATGGTACATAGGTGCTGCTGGTATAGAACTGTAATTGACCCTTAAATTGACCTTTACCAAGTTAAGATAAGCTGTCCAGTAATAAGGGAGCTTGTGATGCTATAATTAGGACACATTGTCTGACTAAAAACAAGGATTCTGCCAAAAAATATTAACTGACAAAAGTTGTTGTTCAGATTATGATTTATTACCTAGGATGAAATAATCGTATGTTGCCTTTGAAAAATCATATCCTCTAATTTTGGAATTATTTTGCATCATATTCCCTGAATCCTGATCAGTTATAAGGCATAGTTTGTGAACTGTTTGACCTGCATAAAACATTGGATGACAGAATTATATCTTTAAGATAAGACATTACCAATCGAGTGATAGATTGCATATGTCAAAACAATTATAGACCAAATTTATATACTAGAATTTCAACATTTGTATTAGATGGAAATAAACGTAAGTGTATTTATTTATTTTTTACATCTAGTTTTCGTGGATTCGTTTTTACAACATAATTGCAATTGTTTGTTTGCATGATTTTATAACTTTACATAAGTCTTCTACTTTATGGTATTCATTTTATATATAAGAATTATTAACTGTATAAATTTGCTTGGTTATTATATGGCAATTCATAGCTTATTGTGCTGAATGCCTGAAAAGTCTTCAAAGAATTTCCAACATAATTATATAAATCATAAGACAATCATAATCACTTGAGTTTTCTTTCAGATTTTGTCTGTTTTTCTGTTGGTTACACATTTCTGCTTTCATGTTAAATTGTTTTATAATGTTTATAAAGAATGCAAAAATGAAATTGTTGGATATACAAATAGAAATTATTGCACAAATGTTTTTTTTAATTGAAAAACTGGGAATTTGGAGAATTATACAGTAAAAGGACAGCTGTTAATTAGTGCTTTCATCTTTGAAACTCAAAACAGAAAAAATGCATTGTTTACCCCTTTCAAGTACCATGTACTATAAGACATGTTTTCTTATGCAGAATATTCCCAGTCACTGTACCACAGAAGTGTCCTTGTTAAGTGTATGAGAGTGTGGGTGAACCATTATAATAGGAGGATGATGATACAGAACCACCAAACCCATATAGAAGAACTTGCGGATAGGTTTACAAAGAGGAGATACCTACAGAGATGGTCACAATGTATCCTTATATCTAATGTCAAGTTACTGTTGTAGGTAGAATATTGTAATTTAAAAATAATAAGTTGGCTTAGTAGCATATTTGTAATTGTGATCTTTCTTGAGAATATTTATAGTAAAATATTTTTGATTTATAAAATAGCTGTAATAAGAATTTTGTTTGATTTGTTCATTTCACAAAACAATATTACATATTATAAAAAAATTCTTGACAGAACTTTTTTATGAAAGTTATACTAGACTTTATTTTTTTATAGAAACAGAAATACTACAAGACTTTCATGCTTTAGGACTTTACTATAACCTACCTTAATGATGTGCCAACTGTTTGCAAAATCGTCACTATGGGCCTGTTATTTAAATGTTTATGGTTCAGGTTGTGACAATAAAAAAGTACGGGAAATGATTTCTTGCTACAAGGAAATACAAATAAACTGATTGTTGATATAAAATTGTAAATATAGATATATAAGTATATACTTTCTCAGGACGCAGAGTAAAACTCCTTTACAGCTTATAAAAAAACCCACCAAAGATGATTATTAAGGATTATTTTTATTATACACTAATAACTATTATAAATCCTTAATAATTATCAAAGATGTGGAATTGCAGCATGAGAAGGAAGAAAAGGAAGAGCTGGCAGTAACACATTATGTGAGAAAATTAAAGGTGAGAATGGAATGTAAAGTATTTCTTATGTTGTTAAGTTTGTGAAAGTTTCTCTTTTGTTCCTTCTTTATCATTTAGCTTCAATAGGCAAACATCTTTTGAGTTGCACAGAAGACAAATTTGTGAACACACAAAAATAATTACTGTAGATATAGAAATTGTTGAATACATTTATTATTGCTATTATTTAACGATGGACAAAAATGTGATATTGTTTATCACGTTTTTAGGAATGCTTCATACAAAAATGCTATCAAAATTTGAAATGAGAGTTTATATTTTTGTAAAACCTATCCCGTTGCAATTATTGCAACAATAAAAAAATCGCAAAAATGTCGGAAATTTTCAGTAGATATAACATACAAACTGACAATCCAATACATCAACGTTTATGTTTCATGTTTATTTTTATGTTTGACACTTCTAATGTGCAGAACCTGCAAGTAAAAGGTTATGATGTGCCCAAATATGCTATTTCTGGTTTTAGAGTATACACACATATCTATAAACCATAGACAATAATTCCATTTTAAATGTGTTGCCAACTTTTCAAAGTATTGTTTTATATTCAGTTATACATTGTAGTAAGAAAAGAAATTTTGAACTAGTGAGAATGCCCAAAATTATTTTTTATTATTGTGTATTCATTATTATTCATTGAGTAATTAATTTGTTGATTTTTTGGGGTATAGGAGAACCAAAAATGTCAAGTGTTCAACACAGTGCAAATTTCTTATAAGCTTGCATCTGAATTCTTCAAAACTACCCAGTACACATTAAAAATATCCATAAAAAAAGACATTCCTTAATCCATGAAAATTTGTTTGTTTTGAAAATAAAAATCCACAGAATACGGGATTAAATAACTAACTAAATAACACAGACAAAATACTTATAAATTCTAGTATGTTTTTATGTATTTGTAGGTTATTGGGTTTTCAGCATTCAGACTTCATCTTGTCCAGAAAAGGATGAAAGAAATGCGGATGGAAATGGCTGCCAATTTTTATGTAACCATGGTAATAGAAAAACTTTGTTATATTTTGGATCAGTTGTATTGTTTTTATTATCAGACTTTAAATGAAAAAAATAATTTATTATACTTTGAAAGAACTTTGAATTGCTGGATATAAGTTTACTATTTACTGTAAATTCAGAAATTATTGAGATGTTTTTAGCTAACCTGGCCCGAAGGGCCAAGTGAGCTTTTCTCATCACTTTGGCGTCCGTCATCCGGCGTCGTCCGTCGTCGGCGTTAACTTTTTACATTTTGAACTTCTTCTAGAGAACCACTAAATGGAATGAAACCAAACATGGCATGAATGTTCCTTATGAGGTGCTGACTAAGTGTTGTTACTTTGTAGCGGATCCATCATCCAAGATGGCCGCCATCGGGGGACTTAGTTTAACATAGGACCCTATGGGAAATACATACAAATGTCTTCTTTTAGAGAACCACTGAATGGAATTAAACCAAACATGGCATGAATGTTCCTTATGAGGTGCTGACCGAGTGTTGTTACTTTGAAGCCGATCCATAATCCAAGATGGCCGCCAGCGGGGGACTTAGTTTAACATGGGACCCTATGGGAAATACATACAAATGTCTTCTTTTAGAGAACCACTGAATGGAATGAAACCAAACATGGAATAAATGTTCCTTATGAGGTGCTGACCGAGTGTTGTTACTTTGAAGCCGATCCATAATCCAAGATGGCCGCCAGCGGGGGACTTAGTTTAACATGGGACCCTATATGGGAAATACATACAAATGTCTTCTTTTAGAGAACCACTGAATGGAATGAAACCAAACATGGCATGAATGTTCCTTATGAGGTGCTGACCGAGTGTTGTTACTTTGAAGCTGATCCATAATCCAAGATGGCCGCCAGCGGGGGACTTGGTTTAACATGGGACCCTATGGGAAATACATACAAACGTCTTCTTTTAGAGAACCACTGAATGGAATGAAACCAAACATGGCAAGAATGTTCCTTATGAGGTGCTGACCTAGTGTTGTTACTTTGAAGCTGATCCATCATCCAAGATGGCAGCCAATGGGGGACTTAGTTTAACATAGGACCCTATGGGAAATACATACAAATGTCTTCTTTTAGAGAACCACTGAATGCAATGAAACCAAACATGGCATGAATGTTCCTTATGAGGTGCTGACCAAGTGTTGTTACTATGAAGCCGATCCATAATCTAAGATGGGCGCCAGCGGAGGACTTAGTTTAACATAGGACCCTATGAGAAATACGTACAAATGTTTTCTTTTAGAGAACCATTGAATGGAATGAAACCAAACATGGCATGCATGTTCCTTTTGAGGTGCTGACCAAGTGTTGTTACTTTGAAGCAGATCCTTCATCCATGATGGCTGCCAGATGGGGACAATGTTTAACAAAGGACCCTATGGACAATACATACAAATGTCTTCTTTTAGAGAACCACATACTGAATGGATTGAAACCAAACATGGCATGAATGTTCCTCATGAGGTGCTGACTAAGTTTTGTTACTTTAAAGCTGATCCTTCATCCATGATGGCCGCCAATGGGGGGACTTCCTTTAACATAAGACCCTATGGGAAATACATACAAATGCTTCTTCTAGAGGAGCACTGAATGGAATGAAACCAAAACATGGCATAAATGTTTCTTATGAGGTGCTGATTAAGTGTTGCTACTTTGTTGCTGATTTACTGTTCAAGATGGCCACCAGGATTTTTTATTAAATTACAGGACCAATATTAAACCAAATTTGGCCTCACTCATTATTAGGGTATCTGTTATGATTTTAATCTATTTTTACATGATTTCCAAAACCAAAGTAGAATCAGGTGAGCGACACAGGCTCTTGAGAGCATCTAGTTTTACAATTTCATAAATTTTGTAAATTTTTGTAAATTTTTACAAAATATTTTCCACTGTAACTACTGGGCCAAGTTCATTATAGATAGAGATAATAGTAAGGAGCAAGAATGTTCAGTAAAGTAAGATCTACAAACACATCACCATCACCAAAACACAATTTTGTCATGAATTCATCTGTGTCCTTTGTTTAATATGCACATAGACCAAGGTGAGCGACACAGGCTCTTTAGAGCCTCTAGTTATTGTTGCCATAAATGTGACAGGGTTATAATCGCAATAATTTAAACTCGCATTTTGAAATTTTCTAAATGATTTCAACAGGATTTTTCTCAATATCGCAAAAATTAAAATCGCATTTTAGTATAAAATGACATAATCACAATAATAAATGCACGCAATAATTTCTGAATTTACAGTACCTTACACTGATGAGCTAAGCAAAAACACACATAAAATTACAAGATCATAATTATTAACTTATACAACATTTAAAAACTTGTGGTCAGAATCCAGCATAAGAGTATATAAAGGAAAATCTTTAACTTTTCATTGGTGTCTAAAATTATACTTTATCATACTAGATTTAGGATTCTTTATATTTTTATAGTTAACAAAGAGACATTGGAATCGTTGGATGGCAAGATGTGAACACAATGAAGAACTAGCTATTCATAGTTTAACTGTCAAAGCTACATTACATTACAGGTAGACAGATACTGTTATATATTTTTCAAAGTTCACTTTCATAGACATTGCATTTGAGTAATTCAGAGTTTTTAGACATGGAAAGTTGATTCTCTCCCTTCTGCTCTTGTTATCATCATTCCTTTATACTGTAGACATTTTTGCAATGTTTTTATTATTGCGAAAATTGCAACAGCTAAACTTTCTATAATAAAAAAAAATTATATTTTGAAATTTGATAACATTATTTGTTTACATCATTGCCTGAAATCACAACGATAAATGCACACAAAAATTTCTGGATTCATAGTAACTCAAGCAAAGTAAATTTTATTGTCCCCCGTGTGATGCATTGTGGGGGACATAGAAATACCGGGCATCCATGCTTCCATCCGTCCGTCTGGCCATCTGGTCTTCTAAGCGCTCTCACGTGTACAATTCTTGCCAGATTTTTATAAAACTTATATCATAGGTTTATATCAGCAATTTCTCTGACAAGTTCGAAAATCAGTGCCGATCAACTATTTTTAAAAGAGTTATGCCCCTTGGAAATATTAATTATCTTGAAAATTGCATTGTTAGCGCTCTCATGTGTACTATTCTTGCCAGAATTTTATGAAACTTATATCATAGGTTTATATCAGCAATGTCTTGGACAAGTTCGAAAATCAGGGCAAATCAAATATTTTTAAAACAGTTTGCCCCTTGAAAATATTAATTATATTGGAAATTGCATTGTATTTGCTCTCAAGCCTTCATTTCTCTTTTTTTTTAGTTATTGCCCTTGGATAGATAAAATATGTGCAACAAGGGGGACATTGGAACTTTGTTCTTTTATTTAAATGTAAATTACAGTTAAAGAAAAATAATATTTAAACATTTTTGAAAATATTAATGAGTATGAGTTAAATTTCAGAATGGTACATGTAGGATTTCCAAATATTTATCATGGATGTAGAATTTTCTAATCTATAATGTTTCACTCTCTTCAAAAGTTACCACCATTTGTTCTATTAAAATGAGATTTGTCTTTCTTGGAATTCAGTTCTATCTGTACCAACTCCCTCATAAAGTTGCATAGTTATGCCCTCGCCATAGCGGAGGGGGCATTAAGTTTTACCCTTGTCCGTCTGTACGTACGTACGTCCCAAAATTGGTTTCCGTTCTCTAACTTTAGTTAGCCTCAACCAAATGTTATGAAACTTATACATAATGCTTATTATCACAAAACACAGATCATGTTTGAATTTTGGTGGCGTCACTTTTACCGTTTTAGAGTTATGCCCCTTTACAAATGGAAAAATTGCTGAATTTATCGTTTCAGTTCTCTAACTTTAGTTTGCCTCAACTAAATGTTATGAAACTTATACACAATGCTTATTACCACAAAACACAGATCAAGTTTGAATTTTGGTGGCGTCACTTTACTGTTCTAGAGTTGTGCCCCTTTACAAATGGAAAAATTGCTGAATTTATCATTTCCGTTCTCTAACTTTAGTTTGCCTCAACCAAATGTTATGAAACTTATACACAATGCTAATTACCACAAAACACAGATGAAATTTGAATTTTGGTGGCGTCACTTTCACCGTTCTAGAGTTATGCCTCTTTACAAATGGAAAATTTGCTGAATTTTTCGTTTCCGTTCTCTAATTTTAGTTTGCCTCAACTGAATGTTATAAAACTTATACACAATGCTTATTACCACAAAACACAGATCAAGTTTGAATTTTGGTGGCGTCACTTTAACCAATCTAGAGTTATGCCCCTTTATAAATGGAAAAATTGCAAAATTTTTATTTTCTTCTAAATATCAAGTAATTTTAAAAATTGGAGTTATCTTCCTTTGTCCATGATTATAGTTGAATCAACTACAATCAATGCTTTATACAATGCAATGTTTAATTTTGACTTCCACTGATAAAACACAGATCAAGTTGAATTTGGGTAGTGTCAATTTAACCATTGTTGAGTTATGCCCCTTTATAAATTGAAAGATTGCAAAATTTTTAGTTTCCATTCTGTAACTTAAGTTTGCCCCAACCAAACATTATGAAACCTATACACAATATTCATTACCACAAAACTAAGATCAAATACAAATTTTTTGTTTCCGTTTTCTAACTTTAGTTTGCCTCAACCAAATGTTATGAAACTTATACACAATGCTTATTACTACATAATACAGATAAAGTTCAAAATTTGGTGGTGACACTTTTACCATTCTTGAGTTATGTCCCTTTATGAACATAAAAATTGCTGAATTTTGCGTTTCCGTTCTCTAACTTTAGTTTGTCTCAACCAAATGTTATAAAACTTATACACAACCATTCTAGAGTTATGCATGTTTACAAATAGAAAAATTGCTGAATTTTTAGTTTCTGTTTTCTACTTAAGTTAGCCTCAACCAAATATTATGAGACTTACACACAATGTTTATTACCACAAAACCTAGATCAAGTTTAAATTTGGGTAGCATCACTTTTACCGTTCTTCAGTTATGTCCCTTTATAACTATATGATATGCAAGCGGGGGCATCATCTGTGTCCACATGTGGACACTGTCCACATTTATTTTCAATTTATTTTAAAAAAAAGTTATTTTCTGTGGCATAGAAAAAAATGTCTTAAAGTAGGTACATTGTTGGGATGTCCCAGAAAAATGTACATTTGAGGAACCCCAAAAACCCACTTAATTTTTTTACCATATTTTTAAGATTCAACAGCCAAAAATCCACAGACAAATTTTGTGATTTCAAAAACCAACAGACAATTTTGCCTGGAACATCCTTGAAAATTATGAAAATTTAAAAGAGGAAATATAAAAGAATGCCAGCATAAATGGGAGATTACTCTCACAAAAAAACAGTAACATGAAAAGACCAAATACATTTTGTGTACAAGTGATAGGTAAATGAAACATTGATATATATGAAAAGCCCTTTTTAAATGCTGATAATATAAAGTGTTTTTCTTACATTTTGTCCATTTTGTACATTAACTTTTCAAATCTCCAAAGTGGAAGGTGTTCCTTTGTGGAAAATTTGTCTGGAGATATTGCAGTAGAACCCATTTAACATTATTTATCATGATATGTTATCGCAATTTTTGAAGCTTTAAAATTAATTGTGTTTCAGATATTTTTCATTCAACATTCATGTGAATCATTAAGCTAAAACAACATGTTGGGTAATTTGGACTGGCGCAGGACATTTTAGTGCATTGATAGGACATTTAAGGGAAAAAAATCAGACGTTTTAGCGCCAAAGTCTAACCCATTTTAACGCAAGATTTTTAACCCATTTTAGCGAAAGTGAAATTATCAATGCCCATTTTAGTGCAAGAATTTTTACAAATTTTGACGAAATGTAAAATTATCAATGCCAATTTTAGCGACAGATATAAAAAATATCATGTTCATTAAAATACAGCCCTAAAAGTCTTAAAAGTTAATTCAAATATCAATTTAATTGTAAATTTATGGACCAATGAGAGTAAAAATGGACTCTTTAAAATACAGGTGAACGGATTAGTCCTGTGCTAAAATGGGCTATAACGTCTGCACTAAAATGTCCCCTAGTAGTTTAAAATTTTTCTCTAAAATGTCATTCGCCCACTTGGACACTGTATTATGAAAGCAAACAACAAATTGATAATAATTAGTCTATTTTTGCAGGACATAAATATAAATATAACCAGCTGTGTTAAATCATCAGCAGAATATGTACTGTAAATTCAGAAATTATTCTGATGTTTTTATTGATGCGAAAAACCTTAAAGTATCCAGTTCACAATAATAAAAAAACTGCCATTCATAATTTCAGTAGTGATTTTCCTTTATAAAATTTTTATCCCCCACCTACAATAGTAGAGGGGCATTATGTTTTTCGGTCTGTGCATCCATTTGTTCTTCTGTCCGTCCGTTGGTACGTCTGTCCTGCTTCAGGTTAAAGTTTTTGGTCAAGGTAGTTTTTGATGAAGTTGAAGTCCAATCAACTTGAAACTTAGTACACATGTTCCCTATGATATGATCTTTCTAATTTTAATGTCAAATTAGAGTTTAGACCCCAATTTCACGGTCCACTGAACATAGAAAATGATAGTGCGAGTGGGGCATCCGTGTACTATGGACACATTCTTGTTGTGATTGAATTAATTAGATTGCACTTTTTTACCAGTAATCAGTGATTCAGGATAATAAATGCATACATTATTTATTAATTTACGTTACTTTTAAATGAAAAAATGTTTAAAAAGGGAGAAATTGGGATGATTTTTTTTCCAAAGTTGGGAGTCGTGAGATTGGTCTTCAAACAGAGATTTTACAAATTTTAGCAAAAAACATTGGAAGGCATCTTCTGATATCTTAAGATTTAACACCTTTGGTTACGATTAAATTTATTCTTTTCAATAGGATGGTTATTTGTAAAAAAATGATAGATGCGTGGCTGGACTATGTGGAATGGAGAAAACATAGACAGGTATTTAATCATTAAACAAAATAGTAGTCAATACATTTAAATTACATATTTTTTTGAAGGGGGAGATAACTGCAGCTGTGAAATAGTAATTTGCTGACTGCTTATTGTCCATTGGTTCTTTTAAAAAACATGCCTATTAAATTTGCATACTGCTGTCAAATAAATTTCATTAAAGGGAAATCACACTATTGTTTATACGCATCACTCTCGGCGCCGCTATAGTGTTGTGACCTTATTATGACGTCGCCGTTTTCGAGTCCGTCGTAAAGGTTGCTAATTTCTAAAATGGCGGCCCGCTCAAAGGGTCGTTCACTAAAGCAGAAAAAGCAAATGACGTTTTGATGAAAATTCTACTCGAAACGGACAAAATGTATGGCAAAAAAATAGCCGAAAGTGGTCTTGATATGGTCTTGATATGAATTACCTTACGATTGGGTTCAAATGAGTTACTCTCTTTAAATAAAGATATTATTATTATTATTTTTATTTACTGTAAAGTTTATATTTTCATATATTAACATATTTATTGATCTCGCAGATTTCTTAGTTTCACGAAAAAAAAAAAATTTAAATACAAAAGAGATATTTAGAACTCTTTTTGTCAATCATTTCAGTATAATCAAAGCGTACATCGGCAAATGTGAAATCCGTCAGGTCAACTTTGTTTTTTTAGAAAAACATTTTGTTTTACGATAAAGTTTAAAATTTCATATAAGATAACTAATAATCTCGCAGATTTCTTAGTTGTATGAAAAAATATTGTAAAACAAAAGAGATTTTACTAGTAACACTTTTTGTCCATCAGTTCAATATATGTAAAGCGTACATCAGTGAGTGTGAAATATGTCCGGTCAACTTTTTTTATTAGATTTTCATAAAATATAGTCTAGTATTTCTAAGGTCTTCAAATATTAAAATAATCTATCAAATAACAAAAAAGTTCTGACTATTTATATATCATCCAGTCAATACGGGCAATTGTCCTGTCATTAGTGTAACCCAACTGTTGGCATCGTATCGTCGCGATGCGGTATGTGGGAATATACTGAAATAAAATAACAATATACCAAGAGTAACAGCATGTAAGCGTACAATTTCCGGAATTTGTAGTTTTCTTTCCAACAGAGGGATGTAAATAAGAACAATGAGTTTCGATGTTCCTTTGGTGTCAAACGCCTCTCTCTCTCTGTCTCTCTTTTTCTTTTTTTGGGGGGGGGGGGGGGGGGGGGGGGGGGGGGGGGGGGGGGGGCACAAACACATGAACATGAGTGATTCGTAGAGTAATCATATTTGTTGAAATATCAAACGTTATTTTAGAATAACGCCATGCAGTTAAACATCACTGTAAAAGAAGCATACACAATTTTACATCGGTTGCTGGCTGTCGAAATCAAAGAAAATTTAGCACCATATTATATAGTACATTATACTCAATCTTCCTTTTTATTCTTTGTACAGGCTTACATAATTTAGGCACAAAAAAAAATCATATTTTGTAGTATTTCTTCAAACTGTCAATTATAGCAAACTGTACGACCAGCAAATTAAAAAATATGGCCGCTAGACGTCAGAGCAATCTGGGAATATCAAACACTATGCCTAGTTATTTTTGTCCTATTGATGACCGTACTGGCTACAACAACAAAAAATCCACACTGTATATTTGGCTTTACAAGTCTCCTACAAGAAAAATATTTAACACACACACATGTATTTATGTAGAGAAACATGTATTTCAGAGTGCTAAACTGTAACCATCACATTAAGGTCCGTCTTGTGAAAGAGTATTCATCTCATATAGAAAAAAAATTTGTGCTGATATTCATGTAATATTTGCCACTGAAAGTTTTGCAAAAATCAAGAAAAAAACAAAAACAAAACAAAAATAGTAGTTTAGATGTAGGTTCGTGATCAGATCACTCAATGTGATCACTTGCATGTCAACAAACAGTGATATAAGGAGATTGTCAGATTCCGATCATGACTGTAAAGGACAACCATTTGTTTAATACAAAGGTAGCTGATTTACTCTTGATACCTTGGTTCTTTAAAAAAAAATAGCCAACATGATATAGCAGAGTGGTGAAAGTGGCACACACAATCAATCAGTTATTTTCAAATTACCTATCATTAATCAGTGTTGGCAAAAACAAGTGTATAGGCTATACCATACTGAAACATAAATGTGATAAAAGAATATACAATTCAAGAAAGAGAGGTGCACCAACAGAAAATAGAAACTGCAATCTTTCTTTTAATTTCATCGGATCTCAAAATTTTTACTCTTACCAGAATTTATTCTATCTTACAGTATAACTCTCTAAGTGGAACTCGAGCTTTAACTAGAACTCTTACTCGAATTAACATTCGAACTAAAAATAAAACTGGAACTTTAACTCAAAATTTAGCTGGAACTCGAACTCTTATTCTACCTCAAAGGTTATCCACACTCTCATTTGTCATCTGATAAAAAAATTCGTAAAGGTTCCACGGAACCCAGTGTCTCGCCTACTTTTGCTGTTAATCGCAGGCTCAACAAAAATGAGGAAAAAAATCAATAAAAATATTCCTCTCGATACTATCTTTTGATTGTAAGAAGCTTCTATCCAAGTTTGGTATAAATCTAGGATAGTTTATGGATCTAATAAATGTTTTAAAAACTTTAACTGTATACTGTATGTAATGTTACATGGAAGAAAAACTAAGTCCATTTATAAGTAAAATACGGATAAACAGGTACAAAATTTTGACAAAATTTCCTTTGAGATACAAGCTTTTGATCATAAACAAGCTTCTGTCTAAGTTTGGTAAATATCCAGGATAGTTTAAGAAAGTTATTAAAATCTTAAAAACTTTAACCACAGAGTGAATGTATTGTTTCCTGGCAGAAAAACTAAGTCAATTTATAAGTAAAATACGGAAAAAATAGATTTTGTTTTTACAAAATTTACTTCTGGATACTATCTTTTGATCATAAACAAGCTTCTGACCAAGTTTTGTACGAATCCAGGATAGTTTAAGAAAGTTATTAAAAATTTAAAAACTTTAACCACAGAGTGACTGTATTGTTTCCTGGCAGAAAAACTAAGTCCATTTATAAGTCAAATATGGAAAAACAGGAATTTTATTTTTACAAAATTTACTTCTGGATACTATCTTATGATCATAACAAGCTTCTGTCCAAGTTTGGTAGAAATCCAGGATAGTTTAAGAAAGTTATTAAAACTAGAGTTAGATAAAATATATCAACATGTCCACAGAAACACGGATAGATGTATAGCAGAACAAGAAAAAAACTAGATCCGTTTATTACTCAAATGTATGGACCAGCAAATAAAGCAAAATTTAAAAGACAGTTGTCAAAGATTAGGGAAATCCCTTATTTTTACATTCTTATAGTATCTTATTTTCATTTAAAACCAGGAGAATCAAACTATTTCTTTATAATGATAGCATCACATTAATAAGCATTAATTATAAAATCAATTTAGATTGCACCATGGTACCATTATGGTAGAAAGCCCTTTGGAGAACACTGACCAAATATTTATTCATAACTCGATGTCTCGCGGTCATGATGTAGCAGGATTTCCAGATTTGACTCTTTATATTTTAGGCTCAGTATGATAGGGCTGATGCATACTACTATGTGAGAGCAATGCCTGTTTTCCTTCATCACATTAAAGCTCATGCAGAGTTACAGAAAAGGAACAGACAATATGCTGAAGTGGCAGTACAGTTCAGAAGGTATATTAAAACATGTGACAGGTAATCAAGTTACCCTAAAGTACATCAGGTTAATTTGCAGATTATATTTGTTTGTCTTCCTATTACCAAAGAGCTCACTCTTGCAGTAAAAGTAAATGTACATTTGTCCATTTCTGCATTTTAGATCTTCTATGAACTTAGTACATGTCTTCATCCCTTTTCGTTATGGTTTTAACAGAATAAGTATTATTTCCTGCTGTCATATATGAATTTATTATAGCTTGTAAAACTGTGATAAAAATCTGGATCATTTTGACAATTGGTAGCTTTAAAGTGGAAATTATTCTAAGATTAAGATGGAATCAAATCTACTTTCATGTTATTGAATTCATGATTTTTCGTGGAAAATTTGTAATATTCTGCTTTCCTTAAATGTTGAAGCTAAATTTAATGCATTTATAAACTAGAAATACACAATAAAGACTTCTAGTTTGGAATGTAATTAAACAGAAGACAATTTCTATCAGGAAATGTAAAATTTTCAACTTAATTAAAAGTCAGTATTGCATTCATCTTTATGTGTGACAAAATATAACATTTGTCCTCATCATGCATGTAGCACTAGAATATTTCTGCAATTTATATGCTAAGACAGAAGAAAAGAAGAAAAGGCAATCATTAAAAATTGTTGTATTTCAGAGAAAACCTTTCTGCCAGATTCTTCTATATGTGGTTCAACAACTTTGAACAAAGTCGAGAAGATAGGATGAATGAAAGAATGGTAAGATTGATTGATTAAATTGAAAAAATTAATCTGGCACATTTGTGTCAGAGTATTGACGAAAGGGACTATTACAAACACATTGCTGATTTAAAGACTGATCTCCCCTATCTCAGAAGACTTGTCAGTGGGAGTCCATGACAACTTACCCCATTGCCAGCTTGCCCCAGACCAACTCGTTTTAACATTTAACCAACTTGCCCTGCCAACTAATCGGGAATTTAACCCTTTTCATATTAGTGGGGCTTGTTTGCGAGCCAAAATCCAGCTGGGGGGGATTACACTCCTTTTCATTAATGGGACGGGTTGGGTTGTCTTGCTTCCGTCAGTAGTTGTCACTGTCTCATCTTGATGTGTGTTGTCTATCAGGACATTCTATAAATGTCATTCAAAGCTTGTTGTACAGTGTACAGGATAATCAATCTCTAAACAACAAACTGACCCTTAAATTTTTATTTTTGTTTAGTTTGTGTTGTTGTGGTTGTGTGTTTCTGTCTGACTGACATTAACCTTACATTTCCCACAACTCATATTTTCCAATACTATCTGTCACACATTGTAATGAAAATAAGAATATGTGGTATAATAACTAATGGGAAAACTATCGCAGCTTTCAACAATGAGCAAAACCCATACCATATAGTAAGCTATAAAAGGCTGACATGACAAAATGTAAAAATAAAGAATAAGAAAACCAACAGCCTGATTTTGATAAAACAATAAAAGAAATTTATAACAAATATGACCAACAGAAAGCAATGATAAGCAAACAAACTTTAAATTTAAATGAAGCCTGGAAAATACAGTCTTGGCAAAAAGCAAGTAAACATTTGAAATATTTTTAAAGAATTGAATGCTTCTTTTTATACAACTGCAAAAATATTTTTGCGTTTGTATAATGGTATCATGTCGTCTCCAGGGGTGTCAGCTTCATCGTCGGCTTCGTTGTCCGAAGACATATTTAGTTTCCGGACAATATAACTTTAGTTTAAGTGAATGGATCTCTATGAAATTTTACCAGAAAGTTCAATACCACAAAAGGAAGGTTGGGATTGATTTTGGGGGTTATGGTACCAACAGTTTAGGAATTAGGGGCCAAAAACAAGAATTTTTGTAGTTTCCAGACAATAACTTGTGTGTTAGTGTATGGATCTCTCTGAAATTGTACCACAAGGTTCCATATCACAAAGGCAAGGCTTGGATTGAGTTTGGGGGTAATTGCCCCAAACGTTCAGGAATTAGGGGCAAAAAAGGGGCCAAAAACAAGCATTTTTCTAGTTTCCAGACCAGGGATGGGGTAATTGAAAATGTAATGGTAATTAAGTGTAATGCATTACAATTTTCCATGTAATTGAATGTAATGTGTAATTGAGCATTTTTTTAATTACATGTAATGGTAATTTCATTAATTACAATGAAAAAAGCGTGTAATTCTAAATTACTTTTGAATTACATTTCAATTACATGTACTTTTATGGTGTTTATGATAAGAAATTATGGTAATATAGTATTGAATTGACATACAGAAATGTTTGCTTAATAGTCTTATAACTTTAAAAAATGTGAGAATCATATATTAGTGTTGTTCAGTTTTTGAGAAAGATCTTTATCTAAATAGATTGATAACATGTATATATACATTCCATCAATACATGTATTTATGGTCAAACAAATGTGTAACTCTTTCTTAGACAGTTCATTTAGAATTTTAAATCACTGCACAAAATCATTTTATCAAATTAGTATACACAAAAGGATTATAGAAATAAAAATTGTCAGCTGTAAAAACAAACAGCAGATTAAAATGTGTAATAAAACAGCCTAGGGACAATGCCACTATTACATGTATTTTATCTAATTAGCAAAATAGTGCTGATATTTAGACATTACACACTGTTTATACTAAAAAATAGTTTCAATATTGTGACAAGCATACTTTTGAATATTTGTAAAGTAAAAAAACATGAAGACATTTTTAATTTATTTATAATTTTTTTATTTATATTATGTTGAATTAAATGAATTCATTTCTGATTTGTCAAAATACCCCTTAATTTATTGGCAAGTTGATAGGAACACATTCCCTCTTCCATCAACACATCTTATGATCTAGCAATACAGGCCACATCAGCTCTTGTACATGTCCAAACAAAGTATTCGGACCAGAGAGATGTAGACTAAATGACAAAACATTAAAACTTCTTATGATGATCAAATGCAATGCTAAAACTATGTTGTAAGCTTACATGAATATTTTACACATGCTATATATACATGATATTTATTGTAAACAATGTTTAAAAAAAATATGATAAAATGTAATGTGTAATTTAATTAATTACTTTAGTAAAGTAATTGTAATTTAATTAATTACATTTCAAAAACCGTGTAATGGTAATTAGTGTAATTGATCATTTTTGCAATGTAATGTGTAATTTAATTAATTACATTCCAATGTAATTGACCCCAAGTCTGTTCCAGACAATAACTTGTGTTTAAGTGTATGGATCTCGAAGGGAGGGATTTTTTTTCATAATTTTTTGATTTTTTTTCTAAAAATTTCCATTTTTACATTGATTAATTCTAATTTATATATAAAAGCAACAAATACTGATATGGCAGGAGATACACACCAAACAGGGTGTGTAAATTATTATATATAACAGATTAACAGTATTGCGCAATAACAAGAAATCTTCAATTGCACAGTGTTGCGCAATAGCAAGAAATCTTCAATTTCACAGTATTGCACAATAATTTAATTTTCGATGTAACGCATCTTCTGGTTGGCTGACGTTGTTTTGTTTATCAGCTCATAGACATAATTTTGTCATGTGACCGTGACGTCATCAACGTTTTTTCATGGTTTACTCCGGTTTAAAATGAAATTTAGAATTAAATTATAAGAAATGACTGTAATATTTTTTCTGTCTATTCGAAATAACATAAAAATGTGGTGCACACTTTAAAATAACCTGCTACACAGGTAATTCAGTGTGCACCCCATTTTTGATGTTATTTTTTCATAGACAGAAAAAATATTACAGTCATTCCTTAAATAGCAAGAAATCTTCAAATGCGCAGTATTGTGCAATAGCAAGAAATCTTCAATTGCACAGTATTGTGCAATAGAAAGAAATCTTCAATTGCACAGTATTGTGCAATAGCACAGTATTGTGCAATAGCATAGTAATGTGCAATAGCAAGAAATCTTTAATTGCACAGTATTGCGCAATAGCAAGAAATCTTCAATTGCACAGTATTGAGCAATAGCACAATATTGTGCAATAGCAAGATTTCTTGCAATAGCACAATATTGTGCAATAGCAAGAAATCTTCAATTGCACAATATTGCTCAATAGCAAGAAATCTTCAATTGCACAGTATTGCACAATAGCACATTATTGGGCAATAGCACAGTAGCAATATCACAGTATTGAGCAATAGCAAGAAATCTTCTATTGCACAATAGCACAGTATTGCGCAATAGCAAAGTATTGCGCAATAGCAAGAAATCTTCAATTGAAAATAAATACAAATCTTTTAACCAATTTCAATCGGATTAACTTAAAGTCTTTAATTTTGGGGGGTTTTAACCTTGTATTTCTATTTTGGATATTGGGCCCCAATTGCTAAATTGGTCTACATTGAGGTCCAAAGGGTCCAAAATTAAACTTTGTTTGATTTCATCAAAAACTACATTATTGCAGCTCTATGATATGCTGAATCTTATTGTGCATTTAGATTTTTTATTTTTGGCCCTGTTTTCACATTAGTCCATATTAAGGTTTGAAGGGTCCAAAATTAAACTGTGTTTGATTTCAACTAAAATTAAAATTTTTGGTGTTTTTTTATGTGCTGAATATAACCATGTTCTTAAATTTTGGATATCAGACCATACTAGGTAAATTAAATGTCCCATTTCAAATTTTTAAGATCTTTGACCACATTTATTTTGTGTCAGAAACCTATATTATGTCAAAAATTTGATCACAATCCAAATTCAGACAGTATCAAGCTTGAATATTGTGTCCAAACTTGCCCCAACTGTTCAGGGTTCGATCTCTGCGGTCGTATCAGGCTGCGCTCGGCGAAGCATTTTATTGTAATTTTATCGGGATTTAAAAGATTGACCAAATCACATTTTGTATGCAATGCTTTTTAATTGCTGTCTGTCAATCATAATTTCAGATTGTTATGAAACATTTATGTAATGTAATTATTTGGGTATAAACTTGAAGGAATTCGAAAATGTAACCTGTTGATTATTGAAATAAACTTTTGAGGAAATTACCATCAGATGGTAAATGTGAGTTGAAATTGTCTTTGAATTCATTATATAAATTATAATATCATTCACTGAAGTTAGGGAAAGTTGGAACACATTGTTATTTTTTTTTTTTGTGAAGACTTTTAGGTACAAGTGAATTTAAATTGTGTATTACTTATTGGTATAAACAAAATTGTACAGATTTGTCTAAATGACTCAAATATTTATTCACTACAGGCAATTTTACATTATGATAGCTGCATCTTTAAGAGACATTTTTGTAACTGGAAGAATAGATATCAGCAAGCTTTGGAAGATAGCCAGAAAGAGGTGTGTTATCATTTTGATTGTACACGAAAAGGGTATGGCTGTTAAAATGTTATATTTCCAAAATACCAAATGTTTTGTTTACAAACAAAAACGAAGTGCTCTTATTTAAGGGGCAGAAGGACCTTTTTCAAGAGATCGGGATTGGGCCTTTATTTTTGCGGGAATTTGAGATAAGGTCATTGTTTTCTCGGGAATTTGGGATTAACACTTCTCAGGACTTGAGAATTAATGATTAACTTTTTGGGATCCAGGAAACAATACTTTATTTTTTCGGGAATTCATGATGACACCCCCTCCTATCGCCCCTCTTATATCAGTGGGAGCAGAATAAGTCTTCCATTGATATTTTTTAAGAAGACTATCCAGTATGTGGGCATATATCTTCCAAATGTAAAATATTCGGAAAATAAAAATTTACTGGATAAAAAGTACTGTATGATGAATCATTTGAAGGACTGTTGTCATCAGATGAAATAATAAGGAAACTTTTATATAAATTCCTATTTTTGGATAAACAACATAACCACATTTATACTTAAGACTTTCCTCAAACTTTAAACCTGTAGCAAAATCAGTTTTCATTAGCTTTTTCACCTTGCATGTTGGAAAAATAAATTGAATACATTGCAATGTAAACTTACAACATTAGGGGAGACAACCCATTTGATTATCTACAATTTACTAAAATTTGATTGATTTTGAAATACGCAGATCTATAGACCTATAATTTGGCCACAGGTAGATCATACTTATGGTTGTGAGAATTTAGTTTTGTATTTGATTTACAATTTTTCAGGAACAAGCCATCAAACACTTCAACACAGTTTTATGCAAGAAACATCTAAAGTCTCTGAAACAGTATATAGATGACTTGAATCTTGGGTAGGTGAAAAAAAAAATCTCTTATACATTTGTTAGCTTTAATAATAGAGTTCCACATAAAGAGACTAGATGGTTAATATAAAAATATTTTTGTGGTCTCCACATTTCCACTTGAAAACTAATAAAATGTTACTGTATGGAAACATTTCTAAAGATAAACTTAAGCAATGCAATAGAAATACAAAATAACATTATCAGGATTGATTGATTGCTATTTGCTTAGCATCTACTGGAAAACATTACATGCATACTCAGGACAAACATTTACGTAAGAAGACATCATCTAGGAGACTTAAAAACTATCTTAAGTGGATCAATATTGTAATCAACAGGGTATTGTGGTAGAATGAATATTTACATAGGTTAAAGCAGGGTTCAGTTTAACACAGACTTCAGGTGCTTACATCCACAGTTTTTGGTCTCTGATTGATAGTTGTTTTATTGACAGCAATACCACATCTCCTTATTGTTAATATTAATGGTAGTTTATATTTGTGGCTTGACCTTTGACCTTGACTTTTGACCACAAAGTCAAATACTACTAAATTCAGAAATATTTGTGTGCACATGTTATTGTGATTGTTGAACATTGACAAAAATGAGAGATAAGATTTCAGAAAAAGTTGCTTACAAATGATGCTATTAAAATTCTAAATGCAAATTTTTCTTTTTGCAAAATCTATCCTGTCACAATTTTTCGATTTAATAAAACATTACAAAATTTTCTGAATTTACAGTATTTCTTCAAACTTTTATAATTTTCCTTTCTTTTTTCCAGTGAAATCAATGATGCTAAGGCTACCAAGCACAACTATCTACATCACATTTCTGTTGTGTTTAAGACTTGGAAACAGGTAAAGTTAAATTTAGATAATATTAAGTAGTTAAGCTATTCTGAATGAAATGAAGACCAGAAAGATTATCTGTACTTTCATCATTTTGATTTGATTTAATTTTTCTTGTTAACAATTTACATTTTATTATATGAGTTAACTGATCTTTTGGTTATGTCTATCAAAAGAAATTAGGAATATACTGTTTAAGAAGAAAAATTAGAACAGAGATATTGACGGATCATAATTTAGTGGGGGTCTTGCTGGCTGAGTGGTCTAAGTTGTTTCATGTACTGTATCACTAGCCTGTCAATACTGAGGTTGGGAATTTGAACCCCACACATGGCAGGTGCGTTCAACTCCAATCTTAATTGACTCCGGGATATTTGTTATCATGGTTTTGCAAAAGTCTGCATACCAGCCTGTAGAAAATGTTTACTTTACTGAACATTTAAATTTTGGATTGACCCATACTTACCAAATATAAAAAAAATTGGTACTCCTAAAATAATAGTAAAGCCACAGTAAATACATCATTTTTTTCAATTTTTAGTTATAGTTTAACATACTGCAGTGGTATGCAAAATCTTATGAAATCTGTAACTTGACCAATTTTCTGAAACTTGACCATAAATGATGTTTCTGAATATTGAAAAAATTACAATTAATACAAAATATAGTTTTTTCCAAGTATATCATCTTAAAATATTATGAACCTTCTTACATATGGTAAATCTTTTGTCGAATTTAAAAAAAAAAAGCATTAACCAATATGATTTATGATCTTTTTACTTCAGTATGTCTTGTATAAACGACAACAAAGAGTAAAGAAGAATAAAGCAGACATGTTTTATAAAAGGCATGTGTTCCAAAAAGTCATAAAGAGATTGAAAAACAACCTGATTCAGGGGAGACAATTTAAACAAATCGCTGAAGAACAGTCCAGCAAAAAATGTCAACAACTTTTAAGGTAGGCAGTCAGTATTTTGTTTTTCATCTTACATATGAGAGTGCCCATGCAACTTTATGTACGATCAAAGGATCTCCTCAAATCACCTGTCATTATCATTTACCGTGGATTCATTTATTCTTGTGGGTAACAATTTTTGTGGATTGAGGAAGCTTTGCCTTTTATTGGATCTTTGATTTCATGATTTTCCAAAAGTCTGCATACATTTCTATAAAAATTGTATTTCGTTGAACGTTTAAATTTGTGTTTCCTCTGTACCCACAAAATCCACAAAAATTAGTATCCAAAAAATTATAATGAATCCACAGTATATGTAAAGTAGAGAAAAATTTTAATAGAAATATACATTTACTGGTGCTTTGATGGAAGCAAATTGATAAACTCCAAATTTATTATCCAGTATCCACCAATCTGGAGGTTTCCCATACTTTATAGAATTTGTATTGATGAAAATAATAGGCCACTTTCGAGTTCGTTTCATTTCCGTCAAAAAATTTGGTTTAAGTGAACATCATTTGGGCATTTCGGAGCATAGTCACTTCCTATACAATGTTGAGCAATCGGTCGAAAAAATATGATGCTATATTGCACGAATTATTCGGAAAAATAAATTCTTATAATTGATAATCAGCACTGCTGTCATTAGGGAATTGTGATTAAGTACCTACAGAAAAAACATTATTTCTAGATTAACCTACATAATGACGATCACGAAGACGCTTGATGAACTTTAATAATGCAGGGATACAGGCAATCCCCTCTATCTGATAAATGAAGTCATAAAGGTGCGCATAATTGACAAACTTTTCCGGTGAAGGACATAACTCGAAAGTGGTCTATTGAATTTTATACAGGAATTATCATCTCATCTCCTTTCTGTTTGAATAGAAGTCCTTAGGATTTATTTCCTAGTTCCTAAATAACCAATTTTACATCATATTTAAGTAATGATGTGATCCTAAAAAAAAGATCTGCCAGTTAAATACATTGCAGTATATAGTTAAAGTAAATTGGAACATAACTCCCTAAATAAATTTATAAATCAAAGAATTCAACAAAAATCAATAAATCTTTTTGCCTTGGTTGTACATGTAGTGTAAACACATTTTCAAGTAATAATTATTTTTAAAAAAGCAAATCTTGTTTCAAAACCTCAGTGTATACTGCAATCATATTTTGTATGTCATGTTTTCAAATATAATGTGTTTAAATCAATTAGCAAAAATTGATTTGACACTACTTCATTATAATTGATTTCATAGTGATAAATTTAAAAATCTTGTTGTAAATTATACAGATGGACATTACATAGATGGAGAGATAATTGTGTAGAACAACAAGAAGATAGACAGACAGAAAACAGTGCTATTTGTCATTATCACAGAGGTCTACTGACTAAGGTATGGGAACATTCAAATTGTAGATACAAAATAAATAGTAAAATGAGATATGAGATTGGTTGTTGCCTGCTAGCGTGAGCCCTGCTGTTGGTTTCCTCTTTTGAATTTATCATATTTTTCATTTAAACATATTTTATTTGCTATTCCATATAGCAAAAAGGATCAGACAAAAGTTATCACAACTAAGAACTAGTCTTCTAAAAAAAATGATCACATTTTTTTCATTCTGGGACCTTTTATAACCTATTATTTTGTGTAAGTTTTGTTCATTGTTGAAGGCTGTGTGATGAACTGCAGTTCTTTGATGGTTAGTTTTTCTCATTGGAAAGCATATCACATGTCCTTAATTTTTCATAGATTACATATCTGTAATACTCAGGCTTACCAAAATGTGTATTGACCAAAAAAAGCTGTAAAATAAACTTTATGTGATACTTGATAATTACAGGTTACAACAACTTGGCACAGATATGCAGTGATACATGCATATAAAAAATCTGAAATGAGGCAATGGGTAGAAAATACACAGAAAGTTCTCAATCAGAGTAAGTAGTGAATAAATAAAACACAAAACAAAGTTCATAAAAGAAATCAAATAAATGCATGCATGAGCTTAAGATATTTGTATTAAAATAAAATACAATGGTGATCTGGACTTTTTATCTTGGTCTTCCCAATCATGGTAAAGAGTATCTCAGTTTTGAGCTAGGGGGATTTAAAAAAGATGTTGATTTTATGCCCCACCTACGATAGTAGAAGGGCATTATTATTATCGGTCTTTGCGTCCGTTTGTTCGTCTGTCCGTCCATCCCTCTGTCCCGCTTCATGTTAAAGCTTTTGGTCAAGGTAGTTTTTGATGAAGGTGAAGTCCAATCAACTTGAAACAAAGTACACATGTTCCCTATGATATGATCTTTCTAATTTAATGCCAAATTGAGAGTTTTGACCCCAATTTCATGGTCCACTAGTACTGAACATAGAAAAGTGTGAGTGGGGCATCCGTGTACTATGGACACATTCTTGGTTTTTTGTTAGATTTATCTATTCAAGTTGAAATCTTTAATAAGTTTCTGTACTTTTTTTTAAATACTTTTGTGGACTGTTAGATCAACAAAAAAAAGACCTTTGGAAAAATAATTTAGCTGTGATTTGATGGCAGCATATATTTTGTAATTTATCATGACTATTCCATTAAAATAGATGAGGGAGTAGTAGAAAGGGAAGTTTTATTTTTAGACCTTGGTTGTAGGTCATTAAGGGTTGTATAGGTCAATTTTATGTATGCAAAATTACACAAAGAAAGTGTGTGGTTGTGGGGGATTTTGGAAGTCCATTCCTGACCTCCTACATCCATGTAAATGGAATAGCCCTGAATATATCTTAATTACTTTTGTCTTTCATTGCACTTTAGATAAGCTACAGAGATATTTCAGTTTTTGGAGGACAACACGAGACCAATCTATTCTGAAGAAACTGAAGACTGAACAGGCAGCACAACATTACAATAGGTCGCTATTACAAAACTTGATTTTCCAATGGAAAGAATTTGTTCAGTATTCTATCAAGAAAAAGGTGATTGTCACTAACTAATTTTGACTTTATTTTATTTTTTTTAGATAAAAAGGCAACACACATATTAATTAGAATAGTGTAATATCACTTTTAACACATTATAAAAAAGGGAGCTATGTTTCATTTAGACATTGACAGTTTACAGAAACATCTTTAGAAATAAAATAAAACATATGAGGCCTCAATTTTAATGTAAATTGCATAAGTTGGCCTTGACATGTTAGAAGGTGCTAAAGAAAAATTATCAAGTTGACTAACAAATACTGACCTCTTCTTGTTTAACATGAGGTCTTGGAAAGTATAAATTTTGGGTCTGTTTTATCATAATTACATCATTGTAACACCACTAATACATCATTAGATAATTTGTTGTTGGAAATAAAACTAAGAAAGTAAAGTTTTAGCATTTTAAATTCATGAATGATTACTCTAGAAGTGGAGGCTGTATTGCAATTACCTTGTCAGTCTGTTCGTTCGTCCAACAAATATTTTCAACAGACTTTTTTCTGAAACTTTCAAACAGAATGATTGACCTGATATTTGGTCAGCAGCTTGATAGGGATGAGTTGTTATGTATGAGCTTTTTTTCTGATCTGTCAGATACCTACCTCCTGTTTGCCTTAACTTTGATTTTTTTGAATGAATTAAAAAAAAATATTGTCACACTTTTCTGAGAAACTACTGAATGACATCATATTTGGAAAGCATCTGAAAAACGTTGAGTTGTAACATGTTTGCTTTTTGGGTCTGTTTTCTGATACTTTGAATTACAAGTGAGGGTTTGCATTGTGCAACAATGCATGTATTTTTGTTATATTTGTAGCTTTTAATGAAACAGTCGGTGTGGTTTAATGAAGTTAGATTGAAAACTTGGTCCATAGCCACATGGAAACAAGAACATGCCAAAACCCAAGAAACTGCTCAGAAATCTGCATTAGCTATGTGGCACTGGAGTTTAACTTTACAGAAGCAGGTATTGGAAAAAATTAACAGTTATGGACCTTTGTCTGAATTTCCACTTTGAGTCAAGTGACTAGAATAATTTTTTAATTAGGCATCATTATATATAACTCATGTGGAGTTTTCTGTGAATTAAAGGAGATAACAAGATAGCAAACCACTAATATGTTTTTGACTAGAAAAATTGTGCAATCAGGCATCTTAGTGCATGACTGATTATACGTTCTTTTTGTGCAAGCATAAGGATATGATTCACAGTATCTTATATACTAAAGGAATAATAACTGAGATTTGTCCTAAATTTTCACTTGGGATAACTTCCATTTGTCAAGAGAATTTCTTCAGCTCTGATGTTTGTATAAAAACATTTTATTGTCACATTCTGTTTGATATTTTTACTTGCATTAAACTATGTGCTTTCTTCCATACATGATTGATCATGATTCACATTGTAATTATATTGCTATTCTTAACTTCAGGAACATAATTTTTACTAAGAATTGAGGTGATATCTACAAATGAAGAAGAGATTTGTTGAACATAGGTTTTTTTTTCTACCATGTAATTTCAATTCTATTAAATTTGGTATCTATGGATAAAAATAACAGTGTATGTGAATGTACTTATGACCTTTCACAGCATTTTCATAAGAAAAATAATCAAAGACTGATTTTAAGTGGAATTACTCCTTTTGACAGTTCTCAGTTGATACAGGATCAAGATAAATTAATGTTGCTATTAAAAGTTACTTTTAGCAAATCCAGTATACACACGTTTCTGATTTAGTCTGTTCAATATAATATTTTTAACTCTATTTTATAAAATATTTTTATAATAGGCACTTATTGCATGGTATATGTATGCACAAGAAAGAAAAAGGAAGAAAAATCGTATTAACGAGGCTTTAGAGAGGAGACGCAACCGACTAGTGAGAAATGGTATTACACAATGGCTTAGTGTGGCTAATGATTTGTCTGGCCTTAGGGCAAAGTTTGCTGCTCAACAGCATGCCACAGTAAGATTATTTATTTATTAAAAGAAATGATTATGGTAAAATATTTTGAGGAAGTAAATCCAGACATGAATATGAATGTCTTTTCTGGAACTTGTTCAGTAGAAAGCAATCAGTAAAATCCAAACATAAAAAACAAAACAAAACATCAGCTGCAGAAACAGGTGAACTTTTTTCCTCGTTTCAAATGTGTATATACCAGCAAAAAATTTAACCAGTTTTATTATTTACATGGTTCTAGATGTAAAATAGTAGCATTCATATACACGTACTTTGATGATGCTTTGCTCTTGGATCAAAGACCACAACTTTATTATTATAAATATTAAGGACTTTTGCTTATAAGCATTACTGTGCAACTGTTATTTTTATGCCCCACTTCAGGGCATTTTGTTTTTCAGTCTGTGCGTCTGTTCGTCCTACCGTCCGTCCGTGTGTCCGTCCCGCTTCAGGTTAAAGTTTATGGTTAAAGTTTTTGGTCAAGGTAGTTTTTGATGAAGTTGAAGTCCAATCAACTTGAAACTTAATACACATGTTCCCTATGATATGATCTTTCTAATTTTAAAGCCAAATTAGAGTTTTTACCCCAATTTCACGCTCCACTGAACATAAAAAATGATAGTGCGAGTGGGGCATCTGTTTACTATGGACACATTCTTGTTAATTACTTTTGTTAACTATCCAATTTACCCAGCACAAAAAAATGTAAAATAATGTAAATTATACTTCTGTAATTTATTATTCCTAATGGTTACGAACACATTCTCTGTGTGAAGTAAAAAAATCATCGCTTAATTTTCAACACTGAATCTCAACACTGAATCATTCTTATTTTAGAAAGCTTTTAGCTTGCACCAGTTGGTACAGAAGTGTGCCCTCCATTGGAGACATTGGACCGCAAGTCGTAAATCTCAAAGAGTTCCAACATCTCATTTTGTTACTTTTCATCAAGTCAAACCAAAAGTTAATTTCATGTTAAGGCCCGAACCATCAGTGCCTGAGATTCTGAAACAGCCAGTGAAGCTAATGGTTCCTGCTCCAGTTTCGTCAGCTCCACCTGCAGTATCTAAAGGGGTGGTCCAAGAAGGTCTTGTTCCCATGGTATCAGAATCACCAGTTAGATCTAGAGGACTGGTCCCTGAGGGATTACACGGTACACATGTGGAATTCAAAGTAGACAGGTAACTTAACAATTCTTTTGATGTTTTATTTTTGGGTTAGAGAGTTAGAGACGGGGGAAAATCTTATGGATTTTCAGAATATAGAAATATCAGTTGCAATTTTTTGTTTCTATGTGATTTCTTGAGGTTTCCTTGTTGGATTTTAATATTGTACAAGTTGTCATAAAGTGGAAAAGGAAGGAATTATATCAGTTTTAAAGATCAGTTGGTCAAAAGTGCTAAGAATAGCTGTACATAGTATTAAATTCTTCAAAATTTTGGATTCAGTAGAAAATCTCTTACATATAGCATTGCATTTTTCTGACTATAAAGACACTGTGAGTTAGCTCAGCCATGGGAACCCCTGGTTAAAAAGACAAGTGTTATCCTTGTCTGTCTGTACATCTGTCCTTAGGTACCTCCCAAAATTAGTTTCTGTTCTATAACTTAGTTTGCTTCAACCAAATGTTATGAAACTTATACACATTGCTTATTACCACAAAACACAGATCAAGTTTGAACTTGGTGGTGTCACTTCTCCCATTCTAGAGTTATGCCCCTTTATAAATGGAAAAATTGCTGAATTTTTCGTTTCTGTTCTCATAAGTTTGCCTCAACCAAATACCACAAAACTCAGATCAAGTTCGAATTTGGGTGAATTTGTCACTTTTACTGTTAAGTTATGTCCCTTTATAAAGTTATATGCAAGCAGGGCATCATCTGTCCCATGGACACATTCTCGATTTATTTTATATATAACATTTAAAAAAAATAAAAAAAGGTTGTGATTATAAAGCATAAAAGTTATGCTCTTCAGACCATGCAGATTACCATAACAAATATCTTAGCTTCTGGTCTCTTAGTCTTTTGATTCCAGATTTACAGAGGAACTACAATGACAAATTTGTGCCCCAAGAAAAAATGTTTTTCCATAAATTGGGACTTTAGAGAAAGTCTGAAACTATTTGAAAAAAAGAAATGAAGCTAAATTTATTACAATCAGCATTATTAAATTGCTAAAGCATTTATAAAATAGTACATGTACCAACTGTTTAATGTGATTATTAATTTTTATATTTAATACATTATTATAGAAATCTCCCATCCAGAAGAAAACCAAGACATCCATCCTTTTTAGCAGAGTCATTAAAGCGAGCTGGACTATTTTCTGTTGACCAACAAAACTCAGAGTATGTATTATGGAAACTTAAAAATTATTTTGAAAGATAGAGAAAAATCCTTGTCAAATAAATTAATTTAATTTTTTTTTTCTTCAAATGATCCAACAAACTTTTAGTTTTAAATCATGGAAATCCATAAATGCTACAAAACCTTCAACTCGCATGGACAAATATAAACATTGAATATACACATCAATGGCAGAAAATACAGTATATAGAAATATCTGGATAATTAATAATGGATCTAAGTCCTTTTTGGCATCAATTCAAAAATGATAAAAGTTGGCGGTGGGGAATTGGAATTATTTTATATTCACAATAGCAACTGAAATTTTATTTATTCATGAAACAAAATGTTAGTTAATAATGATAGGAATTTGTGTATTATTGTAAAATAAATTACTATCAGTTCAGAAATTTTTTAAATGTTTTAACAATTGTGAAAATTGTGATGGGATAGGTTTTGCTAGAATAGAAACTTGCAGCCTTTCCTGAAATCAGGATAATTAATCAAATATTTTGAACTGGATTTTCAAAGAAAAATATCGGTTATTAATTTGGTGATGTACGGCTGGCGAGTGGTCGGCTGCCAAACAGTGTCTGTGCAATAACTTGAAAATGTTTTGACGAAATATTTTCAAATTTAGATATATTGTTCCTATGACTAAATGAAGGTCAAGGTCAATTTTCATGATTTTAGCTTTTATTGTTGTTGAGTTGTAGACCTTTAAGTAGCGAAAAGTGGTACTTAGAGTGTTGTCTGTGCAATAACTTGAAAAAGCTTTAACAAAATCTGTTCAAATTTAGATATGTTGTTTCCAGCAGTGACTAAATGAAGGTCAAGTTTGATTTTCAGGATTTTAGCTTTTATCATTGTTGAGTTGTAGACCTTTAAGTAGCGAAAAGTGATATTTAGATGGATTTTGGCCTTTCTGTTTCTGAACCCTACAAAAATTCATTTATTTTTTTTTACACGATCCTGTTTTGGGGTCCAGATTTGCAAATATCATTTTCATGGAGGAAAATCCGGTTTGCTGTCAATCTGACAGCCTCTTGTTGTCTATTGGTCTACAACTGCAATTTAAAATTTGTGCAAAAATATAAAAAAGATACTGAAAACAGACAAAATGTTTAAATAAAAAGGATTCAGAAACAGAATTTTGATATTTATTGACAATAATTATATTTATAGGTGTGAAACAATAGCAGAGAACAAAATAGTGGAACAAAAGAAAGTTGATAGTACAAGTATACCTACAGAAACTGTTTTTAACATTTATGACATACATGAAAAATCATCAGGTCAAATGTTACAATTGAATGACAAAAACAAAGACAATGCAACATTGAGCATGATCAAAACTGAACGTTCTTCTACAATGATAGGGTCCAGTAGTACTGGACAGACTTCAGGGCTAATAGGATCAGCCCCTACACTTCAAGTCAGAGGATTTAGTGAAAAACTTTCAACTGCAGAAAAAAATCAGTCAGATATTGAAAACATAACACAACGGAGTGAAAAAACTTTGTCTTCTATAACCTCAGATGTAAATGTTATGGAAAAGAATTTCACAGCTCCAAAACAAGGTTACAGAAGGTTTGAGACAAAGTTACTGACACCTGCCGATTTCTTAGCCACAAAAATGACAAGTACCTTGACGAGAGACATTGCAGGGAATTTACCACATGTGGGTTTATCTCCACGTGACAGAATTGATGGAATCTCATCTATAAATAGTACTTTAAAAACAAAAGAATCAGTTGATCTGTTATCATCTGCAGATAACTCAGGGAAATTGAAAGAAAGCATGGGATTTGTTAAATCAACTGATGATACAGCTACAAAAAGTGCTGATTCTTTACTTCCAATTAATATAGATTCTCCTAGGGCAGAGAAAAAAGGAACTTTACTAGCCAATCAAATTACTGATATAAGAAATAGGCTAAAAGGATTTAATGAAAAGAAGAGAAGATTGAGGTATACAGAGTTTTTTTTACCATATGACAAAAACCTTTTATTATTAGTCTTTTAGCTCACCTGAACCAACTGGCTATTCATTGGCTAATGCTATTAGTTTGTGTTTGTTATCAATACTCTAGTCATCACACATCTGCTTTCTTTGATTCTTTGAATCTTTAAATTCCCTGAACCAAATTTTAAATGGACTAAATTTAGCGATGAATTATCTGTATAGCTGTATGCTTTCAAAAGATTTAATATTGTATAATCCCTTCAACTAACCAATATGGCTTCTTTTATTATAAATAGACAATAGCGGTAACCAGGTGAGATGGTAATATTTTTAGACCATCCTCTTAAAATATTTAACAGTTGTTTAATTGTTTTTTTAGTAAATTCTCAACAATTCTAATATTCACATAATACCTGAAGAAAATTTCATTAAAATTTATTTTGTTTGCTTAATGTCAAGTGGTAAATATTACATGTAAACTCAAGTTTAGAACAAATCAAACAGTAAAATAAATTAGGTTAAGGTAGATTGTGAAATGTAGGTGCATAGAGAGGATAGGCAAGTAATTTTATTAACATACTGGGCAATGAGGGTATATGAAGTAGGTTCAGAAATTTGCCTATTCTGATCTGTCCAGAATTGCATGTACATGCATGTATACACTCCTCGAGCTCACAGACAGTTAGGTTACATAATTGATAAATATTAATATTTATGTTCATAATTTTTCAGAAAATTACAGAAACAGCATGTACATCTTTCTGATTGGCTAGAACAAGAGGTTAAGAAAGATGAAGAAATAGAAACAGATGATATTAGGAAGGAAATTATTGAGGTATAATTTTATCCTATATAGCCAACATCTTTTCAATGAGGAAGTGATCTGTTTTTAAAATGCTTACATGTCCTAGATTGAAGATATTTGGCAAGACTGGCTTAATAGTGCCAAGTACTTTTCCTAAAGTGGAGTGCAGGGTGTAGGAGGAAAAAAGATGTAGTATTTATTATATAAACAAAGATAATTTTTTGACTGACACAGAAATAGAAAAAAATAAAATGAACCATGTATTATGATGTTTTATTATATACTTAGTAGTAAATGCAAGTAAACTAGGTGTAATACAATCAATGGTAATCATGCTGTATCAGCCATCCGTGATGATATTGAATATCAGTCACAGTGTAAAGGCTTTATCAAACCCCTAATTTTTTCACATGAAAAAACATCTTAATTAGTTGTACTTGAGGTACTTATATAATAAAGTGTATACAGTGGCGGATCCAGGGGGGGGGGGGGGGGAGGTTCGGGGGTTGGAACCCCCCCCCTCCTTTTTTTTTGGACTATCAATGCTTTTGAATGGGGACATATAGTTGGAACCCCCCTTTATCCTGGGTTGGGAACCCCCCCTTTTAAAAAGGGCTGGATCCGCCCCTGGTATATGATATTTTCCAATATCACACACCATATCAACCCTCTACCAATATAATCCCTCGTGCAGAGCTCTTGGGATTATATTAGTGTTTTGGGTTGATACAGGTGTGATATCGAAAAAGCCATATTATATTCTCTGTTGATGGGACAATTTTTACATGGATACATGTAGAATCTAACACTGCATAGAGTGTAATATGATATTTCTCTGCTCAAGACAGATAAATTTTCAAATCTAAACTTATGTCTTGCCACATGTTTTAAATATTTACATTTTAACTTTCAAGAGTGGAAAAATATCATATTGGATGAGATAAGTTGGTAGAATTTATTACTCTAATTTATAAAATGGATATATAATACTGCGAGCCAAGTATGGTTAACCTTGCACTCTGTTTACTTACTATAACTTTAATGCATTGCAAATGTTTTGTTCCTTCCAGATTGAGGAAGAAATGAGAAAACTGAATCAAGAAATAGACATTGAGAAGCCAATGTGTGCCAAACTAGTTTCTGAAGTACAGATCTTAGTCAAACTGTTACAGGGTAGTGAAACAAAATGATATATTATACATATATATATACTGTAATACTATTTATTTTCCATGTAACTTTATTTGTCATTGCTAGGTGACGTCATTGCAATCTATATTTATGATTTTTTAACCTTGTTGATGCATTCATATAATTGAAGGTCAAAGTTTGATATATTATCAGAGATTTATATTCCTGTTATTTTTTTACTTATAAAGGTCATGTTAATAAGTCACTTACCAAAATTAGTTTGTTTACAGCATGTAAGGTAAAAAAAAATAAGACCGTCGCAAAAGTTGAACCATATATCAATGTTAAACTTATTATAGTTGTAGATCAATTTTAAACTTCAGAATAGATAACAATTTATGACTTATGTCTAGTTATTTGATGAAAGAGGTGTGGTCAGTTGACCTGTCATTCTTTCACTCATATGGTCAGATTAGAAAGTTGGTGAAGCCGTTTGTACTTTAATTTTAAATTTGAATGATATATTACTTATAGATTTGCTAATAAGTTAATCTACCATAGAGAGGAATATTTTTGCTGGGGTAGGGGGGGGGGAGTTTGTGGTATCTTTTCTCAAATTTAGCAACTAAGATAAAATAGCAATCATATTCACTTTCGTACAGGCTACAGGGAGAAATAAGTTCTGTGGTAGGTGCCCTACCTTCTATAAATATTCATTGGTCGATAACAGGATGATGTAAGCTAGTCTTTATAAACTAAAATCTAAATCAATTATTCTCAAGAATATTTAATTCATTGTACCAGGATTTATCCTTGTCTTAATCTTTAAAATTTACAGAACACTATCAAACATTCTCTTTAATAGTTTTGAAAATTGTTTGATTGTCATATTGAAAAATATGGCAAATTTTCCCCATAAAAATGGTCATTTTAGTTACTTATTTAAGAATAACACTAAAGAAGTAGAATGCTAGGCTCAATAATTGGGATATTCATCCTATATGACATTTTATTACATGTCAGAGTAAATATGTTATATTATTTTCTGAATTTACAGTACTTCAATTTTTCTGTTGTTATCTATTTTTTATTTATTACTTTTGTTTGTTATATATATTATGATATATAATAGTAAATAAATACTGATATGAGTTGGAGGTATTTAATTTCTACCCAAGTCTGACTACACATACAAAATAGCTTTGTAAAAAGTGTTATTTATGGCTAGGTAGGTGGATAAGTTGTTATATCTTGTGTCTGTTGTTGTTTAATTGTTAATGAGACACCTATCAACCAAAGATCTAAGAATTGATTGATCGTTTGATTATTGCTTGCTTAATTTCTATATGGTGTTGATACATGTAGTCTTTTGGGTTACTAGTCATATTGTACCATAACCATTTGGTACATTGCCATTTTGTACCATTCATAGTCATTTCGTACTGGGCCAACTGCATGTTTACCATTTCGCACCATAAGGAATAAACACGTTTACTTTTTATACGACCGCAAAAAATTTTTTGGGATCGTATAATGGTATGATGTCGTCGTCGTTGTCCGAAGACACATTTGGTTTCCGAACAATTACTTTAGTTTAAGTGAATGGATCTCTATGAAACTTTTCAAGAAGGTTCAATACCACAAAAGGAAGGTTGGGATTAATTTTGGGGATGATGGTCCCAACCGTATAGGAATTAGGGGCTCAAAAGGGGCCCAAAACAAGCATTTTCCTAGTTTCAGGATAATAACTTGTGTATAAGTATCTTGGTTGCTCTGAAATTTTACCACAATGTTTAATATCACAAGTAGAAGGTTGGGATTCATTTTGGGGGTTATGGTGCTAACAGTTTAGGAATTTAGGGCCAAAAAGGGTCCAAAATCAAGCACTTTTATAGTTTCTGGACAAAAACTTGTGTTTAAGTGTATGGATCTCTCTGACATTGTACCACAAGGTTTCATATTACAAAGGGAAGGCTGGGACTGAGTTTGGGGGTAATTGCCCCAAACATGCAGGAATAAGGGGCCATAAAAGGGCCAAAAACAAGCATTTTTCTAGATTCCAGACACTAACTTTTGTTTAAGTGTATGGATCTCTCTGAAATTTTACTACAAGGTTCCATACTACAAAGGAAAGGCTGGGATTGAGTTTGGGGGTAATTGCTCCAAGGGGGAATTCAAAAAGTTTGGGGAGAGGATTTTTTTCCAACTTTTTTAAGGGGTTCATATTTTTTTTTCAAAATTTTTCAAATTTCAAATTTTTGAAAATTTTCAAGAAGAACTCTGCAATTGCACAGTATTTCACAATAGATTTGTAAGATCTTTGACCACATTTTTTTTGTGTCAGAAACCTATATTATGTAAAAAATTTGATCACATCCAAATTCATACAGTATCAAGCTTGAATATTGTGTCCAAAGTTATCCTAACTGTTCAGGGTGCGACCTCTGCGGTCGTATCAGGCTGCGCTCAGCGAAGCATTTTATTTGTCTTTTGTTATCTTCACTCTGAATGTGTTAAAGCTTGATGTATGATGTAGATCTTTTTGTATTATAAAAGACATCTTAATGAACTAGATGTATTTCCTTATGTAATTGTGTTGTTCAGTTGCTGTCTTAATGGTGTACCTATATACCTAACATGAGGGTAGGAATGCCCTTTATCGTCAAACGTCCATTTTTCGCTACCGTTAGCATCACATGAGCTTTAATTTTTTGTCATCATTCTTTAAATATAATTTTTAGCTACCGTTAGTGTCAGATAGAGTAAAATGTTTAACATTAACATTATTTTAACAAAAATTTTACCGTCATTCATCATGTGGGGTACCCATTCCTATCCTCTCACATCTTCTTTTAAAAAAGGACATTTCAATGGTATGATTGCCAATGTGACAACTATCCACCATAGACCAAATGATGTGGATGATTAGGCAACCCGTATGCAAAAACGCAGTTGCGTACACATCGAAAATTTTACAAAAATAAAAATATGGTATATCTAGTAAGAATAAAACTAAAGTAACAAATACAATTAAAATCTATCATACAAACATGTTAATAATCACTTTGTAGCTATATTCTGTTCCTGAAATTACTTTTCATTTCGAGCCAGCATAATGATTATGTTGCTGATGCAAACAATTAAAATGGTCCTTGAGGTGTCAGAAAACAATTCTATGCCTCCTTACCCTGTGCTGACATCTTTTCTGAAGATTTCAAAATAACTGATGAAATAAAATATGACGTTCTAAAGAGACCAAGGACAACGATTCATTCTCATGATTTTCCTGTGAGGTATGGATAGTCTTAATAACATACGTCTTCATAACGGATTTTTTATTAAACAGTCTAGTCAGACTTAATAAAATTAAGAATTGAAATGGGGAATTTGTCATAAAGACAACAACTCGACCAAAGAGTAGAAAACAGCCCAAGGCCACGAATGTGTCTTCAACGCAGCGAACTAATCACGCACCCGGAGGCGGGCTTCAACTGGCCCCTAAACAAAAATGTGTACTAGTTCAGTGAAAATGGACGTCACACTAAACTCCGAAACATATAAATGAACTAAAATTAAAAAAAAACATAAGACTAACAAAGACCAGTTGCTCCAGACTTGGGAAAGGCGCAAAAATGTGGCGGGGTTAAACATGTTTTGTGAGATCTCAACCCTCCCCCTATACCTCTAGCCAATATGGAATAAAAAAAAGCACACAGAAATACACACAGTAAAACTCAGTTTAAAACAAGTCCGAGTTCGATGTTAGAATAGGTAACAGAAGAAACTAAGCAAAATGAATGATACATAGATTAATAAAGGACTACTATCAGTTACTGACATGCCAGCTTCAGACAGCAATTAGACTGATAGAAAGATTATGTCTTCATCATAAGAAAATCAAACACAATCCCTACCGTTAGGGGTTTAGTATCATACCATCATTAAATATATGAAAAGAACATAACCCGTATCATGCCAACAACTGGTTTTAGAATAAAGTGTTTATTACCGATGCAAAGACATTAGGTTTAACGAGGGTGGTTAAACGTAATTTTCGTGCATCGTGTTTGCCGTTCTTTTTTTAATTTTGATTGATGATCAACGTGTTTTTTACTTTTTTATTTTTACGTTCAGTTGTGCAAGACGGGTGCCTCGTTCAAAGTGTTCCCCTAACTTAATTATACGTGCTTCGAGATTAAAAGTGCTTATTTTGACCATACTTCGAGTTTAAAGTGCTTGTTTTCCTTGCATGGTAAAATTAAAAGACTGTCGGCGTTTTGGAAGTTAAAAAGAAATTGGAAATAATTTGATGATTTCCTTACAGATTTCGGGACTTCAAACGTTTATATTATATACTTGCCAGATAAAGGTTAAAGGTTATAATGCAACGTTCATGGACGAAATTATTTCACGTTCACCATGAAATTGTTATTCCTTCTTTGTATTTAACGTTTTTTCCGTGCAAGTACCTACCTTTGCCACCCCTTTTAACCTGATCTAACTAGCAACGAATATTATTTTTGATTTAATTTAATCAAGCTCAACCCACTACACATTAGGAAATCCAAATTCCTAAGCTAAAATTACTTGTTTTTCTCAAATTAATATTTTGTTTTTCAAAAGTTGACTTGTTACTAATGAAAATAAGATTTACATGAGGTCATTTTAAGTCCCAGGAAATTGCGAGAATGCACCACCAAATTTACCTTTCAGTCTTTAGAACTTGAATATACATTAAAGTAGCTATACTCTGACAAAACATTTCTGTTTACTTAAACCAGCAAATAACTGTACATGAATGAAACTTTTGTTGAAAAAACAATCCGTAGTATACTATTCCATAAATTTGCATTACAATTTAAGGGTAGATCTGCTACACGGTGTACTTGGTGAAGATGATTATTTTCTGAAAGCCCTAGTGCTATTTTCAGTAGTAAATGACTAGGAATGTCATGTAACACTACAAAACTTTAAACATTGGTTGAAAATTGGCTTATAAAAGGGTGATATTTGTACAATTCAGAATTTACATGGTTCTTATGAAGTTTTTGTTGTTTTTGTGCCTTGCATGGATCTGATGAGTCAAACCTTTTCATTTTTTATCATTTTTGAAGGCTGTACAGTGACCTATAATTGATGAAATCCACATCATTTGGAGTCTTTAGGATAGTTGTCTCATTGGCAATCATACCAATTCAGCTTATTTATAGTAAATACAGAAAACTTATAAAGGTGTGGGAAATCAACATAACTGATTGATTGATTGATTGTTAACGTCCAGTGGCAATTACTTCATGCAAATTCAGGATGATAGCAAAACCAATAGGAAGGTTCAGCCAGGTATGCTGACATGTATGAAAGGCTGGAAATTTGGATTGCCACTAGAGGGTATGGAAGATAATAGCAGAAGGACTCTCACGAATTTGTTGCAAGGGTTCTTTAACGTGGAAAGAGTAGCACATGATAATCACACATGGCATCGGATTTAACATTCCCATTCAGACCTGATGTGGCTGTGATTTGCATATCCCACATACAGCCAGACCGAAGCTAATTTAAAAGTGGTTTTCTAAATAAAGTGCAGTATGATGAGTTGTCTCATTGGCACTCATACCACATCTTATTTATGTTTGCGTCATTTCGAAGGCCTCGCTGTTACTTTGAGATGTAGAATAGCCTTAAATGTGCTGTTTCTGGCTTTTGATTATTGTCATTTTCATGTACATTTTTGGTCCGCAATTAAAACATATTTTTTTTAATTTTTCATGATAAGAATTTTCGGTTAACATTATTTAAAGCTGTCTTAAAAGCATTGAAATATCTTGTCTATTAATTTAAGCTGACAGATTATATTCCCACATTCTCTCATTTAACGTACATTATTTCTTGGTTGTCCTACACTGTTTCTAGGTAGGTTTTAAAGAGTAACTTCTAGTTGTCTTTGATGGCGTTAAGGTAAAGAGATACACCAAGCTAGTATGATCATTATTCTGTTATCTATGTACTAGTAATATTTTATAGTATAATTGATTTTTTTCACCGTATTTTTTTTACCATGGTGCTACCTGTTCTTATTCTTATGATGTTTGATTGTCCCCTAAGTATCATTCATCTCTTTTATTCAATCCTTTAAGGGCTTTACATCTTTAATT